GCTCGGCGCCAACGTCAATGTCAATTGCACCGGGCACGCGAGATGTGTTGGGTTATTCTTGTGGAAAATGCCACGCGATAAGGATGCAGTCTGGAGTAATTTTCGCCTCGCCAGGTTTTCAGACCTCTCCACTTTGATGGGTTAAATTGCCACTGCATTCCCATGTCAGGGGATAGCCAATTCCTTAAATATTTATTATGTTTGTCCTTCGTTTCGAGCACGAGAATTACTACACGCAATTTATATTATTATGATTTGGAATCAAATTTATGTTTAAAAAACATGAACTCTGAGAGAGCTTTATTGATAAATTGCTGGAACGTTATTTTTAAGTTAAGACCATTACTTTTAATTTAACTAAGTTAAGTTTATAAAAATGCAACTGGATTGTCCTACAAGTTAATTGTTTTGTGTTATATTCAAACCAGTTTTTCAATTAAAGTGCTTTCCCCATAAAATAAAAGACTTTATAAGAAAATTCTCAGTCGCTTAAAATTGAATTCAATATGTATGATTAATTGTTAAATTTTCCATAATCGATTTGTTTTTAAAATAGCGTTATTCATTGTTTTTATGACTCTTGAAAATAATTACTTTGTATTTTTTCTTGGTTTTGTCTCGGGTTAAAGGGTGGTCTACCAGCTGCTGGACTTACTTGAACGACTCTGTGGCTGATGTCGCAGTCATTATAGTTCTTTGTGGTTTTGGTGTCAAGCACAACGTCTGCCCCATCCCCTCTTCAAATTGTTGTGTTTTAAACCTTCTGAAGCCCTCGCAGCTATAGCACAGTTATTTTTGTCCCCACAATTTGGGGTGTCGGGCATTTAAGCGGTTGTTTTCTGTTTTCAGTAAATATTCCATAGTCTGGGTATCTTTACCACCACCCAAAGCCTTCTCTGGGATTTTATATTGTTTCATATTTCAGAATTACGACTTAAATTTTATAAAAATAGGACAGTAATATCATGTAGCTGACAACGGAAAACTAATGTAAAAATAATAGAAACACCGCTTTAAATTATTTTTTTGCTTATCATATACGCAAGTAAATCAAATTCTAGTATTTCTGGTACTAAAATTAAGCTTGCACAAATAAGCTTCCCTTCTTATAGTACAATTTACATGAATAAAAGATGCTGAGTAAATTCCTCATTTTCCTCTATTTACTCTTTTAAAGGCTTCACAGAAAGCAATTTTATTGAAGCTAAAAGACAGATTTTGCTTAGATAATTTTCCCATTTACTAACTACGTCAGTTTCTCTTAGCTTTCACAAAAAGTTGTTGATTTTTTGCTGCCTTACTCACCAGAAAAGAGATATAAAATCATATTATTCCCTCGTTTGTTCCACTCCTGTTGGACATGGGGTGTACCACCTCTTTACTCTGGCATTGTTCAGTTGACTTCCGCAATTTCCTTATTTACTTATCTTTATTATTTGTCCAAATGAGCAAATGGTTGCTCTGCTCTTTGAATGCGAATAAGGTCCGTTTCAGGTAATTACATACGGGGGGAGTACATGTTTTTACCTGCTGACCGTTGGGGTTTATTTTTAGTTTTTTAACCCAATTGCACACCGCATTTGTGGGGAAAAAGCGGGTCTTTTTATATATACCAGGTGGTACTGGGGTATGAAAGTGAGGTCCGAATGCGGGCGGCGAAATGGACTTTTAAGTGCAGACTCAGCTCGTTGCCATCCTTGGCCATTGATTAAGAGTAAACAGAGCATGTAAATGTTTGGATATTCAAACTGTGCATTTTTTCTTTGTGGCTGAATTTTTGCGCAGTTTAAAGTTCCCCTCGCAAACGTGTGTTTTGTGTGGGCATTAAGGAGTATGCCGGAGTCACCCCGAAATGTTGAGCGAGCCAAAGCAGAATTTTCCTCGCCCACAAAGTATAATGAATAACAGCACTCCCATGGAGCGATAACGGGGCCAGGGTGGAAAAGCCGGTGGTCACACGCCACCCGCGCAGCCAGGGCATTGACATTTTGCCTATCTAGAGGATAGAGTCCTAAGCACGGGACTTCCCCGAACCCGTTCCCGTTTCAGTTCTCAGTTCTGCCATTTCGATTTTCCCGGACAGCCGTGCACCATAATTCTCGGGCCGCCATCGCTTTGATTTTCCGCGCTGTGACTATTTCGTAATACTAGGCTGGTCAGTAATGCACAGAAAGAAATGCTCTATAAGTGTCCTTATTGGGATGACCTATTATAATAAAATACTTATTCTGAATATATTATAAGTAAATTTAATTTTTATTGCGAAAGGTGTATATAAATATATATAATAACAACTTATTCGATGTTATAAACACAAAATCTATTATTATATTTTATTGTTATATTATTATACATTATATTCAGAAAGTTGGTTAAATCTTCACTAAATCTTTTGCTTTTAAGTACCTATCGTTTTTAAAGGGCTCTTACAAAAGATATCATAGCATATCATATCATATCATATCATATAATTTCATCATATCATATCATATACCTTGTGTGAATTAACTTGTTCGAGTGTATCTATAGCGAATTAGCGCTCTCCGCCGGGTGGTGACTGGTTGGCAGGATAACGGCCGCCTCAAAGGACCACACAGTGCAGTTAATAGTTTTGCAATCCAATCCTCCCCGGGCTCAAACGCATTGCCCCCTGACCTCCGATCGCCCACAGCGACACCGATAATCATGTTGATGGGCCTGCACTATTGAACACGAAACTTCAGCCAGCTTTGGCAATACAAAATGGAAAATTGGGGGAAAAAATGGAAAATAGAATACGACTCTGTGGCCTCTCCGCTTTCAATTTGGTGAAAATGTCTGTTTCTGTTTTTGGCCCTCTGCTTTGTTTCCACTACATTTCCCACACTTTCCCAGTGCGCCGGATGACCATGGGATTTGTCCGTAAGTCGGGCTATTTGCACATTCTGCTGGAGGACAACTGATGTGCCGGGATTATTTTCGAAGCTCGTACGCGTCTAGTTCTCGTTTTCAATTCAGTGCATTTTTGGGGAAAACAAATTGATAAATTGTATTTGTTATAGTAAAGTAGATATATAGCACATTCGGAGATAGTGAATAGAACATTGTTCTATGGAAAACGATAAAAAAGTTTTTGCTTCCATTTTTTATAAAGAAACTTGTTATAATTTTGAATAAAAAAGGTTTCGAATTGTGTTTTTTATAAAGTATTATTTTTATTTTATTACATCAAATGGATGTTTTTATTTTTAAGACAGCATAAGATTGTAGTAAAGTACTCTTAGATTAGTTTGTGTATTAAAATCCTAATATATTGTTGGATTTCTAAGCTCTGTTTGTTCAATCTCCGTAAGAGGAGAATCCTAGAAAGAGGAAATGATACATTGATTTTCCATTTACAATCAACGGTTTCAAATCGTCCTAAGAGGAGGCAGAACACCCTCATATCAGATCGGCTGTAAATGCTGGTGATTGTGGCTGCAAAAGGCGTTCTGACAACCAACTGTTGTTGGAATTGGAACCTTTCAAAAGCGGTTTAATGCCAGCGGACGCACGTGTGTGCAGCAATTGGCAGGCCCAACTCATTAGCGCAAAGGGCGTACAATGTGCCATATAGCTTACATATAGCATCTGGCCATCGGCCCGATCCGTGCGTGTCCGCAATTAAGGTGACGACAAGGGGGGTTCGGTCGGTTCGTATCCCAGTGACGCGACAGATTTCGCTAATGACTGTGGGGGTGGGTACATCCTATCCAGTGGATTCCCTTCCTGTCCACCAAATATCCGGCACTAGTCCAACCTCTACCACCTTCGGAACTTCTGTTGATGAATCGAAAAACTACGGGAATTAGATGTGCATGTCAGTCAGCAAATTACTGACCCCCCTTCGGCGGCCAGCTGGTGATGTATCGCCGCCTCTGGGTCGGGTTCAAAAAGTTGTTAATATTTTATTTGTGGCTGATTATTTAATTACACTGGAGGGTTGGGACTGGAAACATAAAGTCCGCCTTTAAATTTTCGGCTTATATTGAGGTAGCTTTTATTACTTTATTTAAGGTAAGGGCTTAAAATATAATACATTTTGTTGTGCATTTTGCTTTAACGGAAACTACTTTAATATACCAAGACATTTTTGTATGAACGTTAAGACATACATAGATATGAGGCTAAAACTTTTGTTATTATACCCATATTATTAGAATTGGTCTATTGTTAAAAAATCTAGTCGAGTCACAATTTCCGTAGGTATTGTCTAGTCACTTCGAATCTTGACTTTTTCTCTTTTATGTTTGTTTTATTCCTTTGTCCTGGACCATAACTTTCGATGAAATTGCATTGAATTGTGGAAATAATCGCCATAAAAATGTTTCGTGCACGACTTGTAATTGGTTTAAGAATTTATGAGGGTTGATTGTGTTTTCTTTTTCTTCCCTTTTCGAAGTACATACAGGCATAGAACAGGTCATGTGTATGGGGTTTTTTTTGGGATTAGAGGAAGGGGGTGTTTTATGCTTTGATAGGGGCCATTGACACCCTTTGTTGTTGGGACTTTAATTTTAAGCTTTTTGTCGAAACGACATTTGACTTGAACGGAAAACGATTAGACGCTTTTAAAATTCCTTTTCAGTGCGGTCAGGTCAAGATAAAGGCCAATCGTAGCACTGGTAATTCATAGAAATTAACCAACTGTTATTTAAAAACACAAGAATTTGTCTATTTCTAACATAACCGCTTTATTAAAGATCGCTTTCTTAAAGTGTGATAATATCAAAATGCAAGTTTTATTAATAATACTAAAACGCCCTAAAAGAGTCGGCCTTTTTCATATTTTTCCTTAAACAACACTTTAAATAATGCTGTTCATCAATGCCCAAAGATTTGTTATGAACTCAAAATTAAGGAATGAAAAAATGCGGTCATAATAATAATTTCGTTAGTGAATTCATAAAAGTAGACCTCAATTTGTCTTTAATTTGATTTGTGTATCTTTCTGAAACGTCAACTTTTTCCTACTTTTCCAGAATATGCCTGGCAGGTAGACTTCTGCTTTTCCATCCACCGAAAGGCCAACGTCACAGCAACTTTTTCCTCTGGCGATGAGAGCTAAACAAATGACACTCCTTCCATGAGGGATAGGGATAGTAGGTGCCATCAGCCCATGCCATCGCAATCGCAATTGCAGAATGTGTGCCACCGACGTGGAACCTTCAGTATCCTTATCCTCCCACTGAGTGGCAGGAGGAGATTCCTAAGACAGACACCTCTGATTGAATCGGCAAAGGCGACAAAAACGAAAACGAAAAGGAAAACCAGTACAAAAACGAAGGAAATGCGGAAAAACTCAAAGGAAATGGCGGCGAATCGGAGGCGAAAGAAGACAATCGGCATGCTGACATCGGGACTAAAATCAGTAGTCAAGTGGAAAATTATTATATCATCCATAATGTTGCTCTTATTAAGTGGGACAAGTGAGTGAAACTCACTTACACCAGAACATCCGACTGCATTTGACACATTCGACCTGAATAAATAAACACATTTGTAGATTAACATGCGTATACGCAATATTTGGACAGTAGACATTTTGCAATGGCCAGCTAGGCGTTATCATACTTGTGTTGTTTCATTAAACATTATACAGTTGCAACTGCATAACTTAATTACAGTTTACTTATTTTGCCACCATTTGCTATTTTGAAATTAAGAAATGAAAGTCATTCTTTTTTAATACCCTTTCGATAATCTAAAACTAATGGTCATACATTTTTACCTAAAATCAATAGTACCTATAAAGGAAATGGAAAATATTTTTTTCAAGAATTTACTGTTTAGAAAACCAGAGGAAATTAATTTATAACATCTTTCAGTCAAATTTTAATTGTTCTAAAAATCTTTATATTAACACCAATTTGATGTCATCTGATACATGTTAAAATAAGATTGAACATATTTTAAAAAGTAGGCCAAAAAGAAAGAGGGGCCCATTTTTTTATAGCCAAAAAATAGAAAAGTTTGATGATATCTGAAGCCATAAAAAAAAGAGTAATTAAGCTTTGTGGCTCCGAATCGAAATTGCCCCCTTTGTTTTTGTTTTGCTTGCATAATTTGTAGCCGGGGTGGCAGCAGTTGGATGCGACTCAATTTACACGACCCGGTTGGAGTAAACAATGGCAGAGGCTCTTGAATGGGGCCAACAGAAGGCAGCGACACGAAATAAATTACAAGGATTTATAATTCTTATCTCTGCGCTTTTCTCTTCCTTCCCCATTTTCATGTGGTGCCTCCTTTGGATTCGACAAAAGGTCACGTGCTGGCGGTGCGAAAGGGTCGCCTGATGTCCCCCAGCACATTCACCGCCCTCAGCGGGGACCTGCATGTGCAGATCCAGTTCAATGGTAACGAGATGTCCTCGCAGGAGGAGGAGGACGGGGAGCACAGGGACAGCCCATCCAGCGTGGAGCACTTGAGCACTGACGGGCGGGACTTGAGGACCAGGAACAACACCATAATGAGCACTTTAGTCATTAGCAAAATCATTGATGAAGTGGAGTCACCGGTGGAAAAGGGTTTGACTGTAACCACCGATGCAACCAATAGCAGCAGTCAGGTGGTGCTCCATCGAAAACGCAAGGAGGTGGTGCAGAATATACCGCTCTTTCCGGATCCGCGATTCAATGTCACCCAGGTGACTGTGCCATGTCAGACCTTCTTGATTGGCGGCCGCTACGAGATGCAGGTGGTCAGCAATTTGAAGTCGGTGAATCTGAGCGAGGTGACCACCACCTTGGTGCCGGCACAGGATGAGCGATTGCTCCAGACCCTCGATGTGCGATGGCCTAGTGCCGAGATGATCGTGAGTCCGGTGCGCCTGAGGACCTATCCCAAAAATCCCGTCGAGGTGACCCTACGGTTTCCCGAGGTAAACTGCAATCAGTCGGGCAGTCTCGCGCTGCCGGAATTTTGGCTAGAGCTTATATACTGCGGCAAGGAGCGCAGTTGCAGCCGGAACATAACCCGTTCCAGTGTCCTCTTTGCGGAGCAAATAAGGGGATTCCCGAAAAACAAGAGCCTGCGCTTGGGCTGCGAATTGTTTGGACTGGCCGGCAATTATGCCGTCCAGCTGAGACCCATGATTCCGGCCCAGAATGTGCCCACCACCCGGAGGCTCCTCAGCGTCGATTGGAGCGATGAGTTCGTGTTCAACGTGTATGCCCGCAGAATTTTCCCCTGCGATCCGCACACGGGTATCGGTGTCCTCTACGAGTATCCGGGATGCATTTTGGAGCAGGGCGACCGGGTGCGTCTGTATGCCAAGCTGCGAGCCGATGTCGCCTCCCTGAAGCCACCGACATCGCTCCATTATGTCGCCGAGCAGCGGGTGGTCAAGAGCCAGCACTCACTGTACTTCGCCTGCGACCTATTCTCCGAGAAATACGTGGAGTACTGCTTCGTCTACGTCAGCCAGGCAATTTCCGGAGCCGTGGCCGATGTCCGGATGGACTGCGTGCCCACGCTGCCCGTGAGCGGTGAGTGCAACCGGTCGAAAGTGCATTAAGACCGTACTTAACATCATTAAGGGGGAAATCCCAATTAAATGGAATACAAATAGTTCTTAACATTTTATTTCGCCTGCCCATTCGCAACACTGAAAATTTCAAAGAGATGCCACACCTACCATAAAAACAATTTATATATAGCTAATAGCTCAGGCACAAATTTTCTTAACGATCTAAATTTAAATTTTTTCTATTTTTATTAGGACAACCTGATTTTCAATACAATCATATTTTCATATAAAGAAATTAAAAAAAAAAGATTTTAAATTTAATTTAGATAATACCTATCAAAAATGTTAGATCAATGTATATTTTTAAAAGATTTTGTAACTCAATTAAGGTAACATTTAAATATACATTTTTTATTAGGTGATTTAAATGCCATTTCAAGCATTAAAATATTTTTTTTATATAAGCAACGGCATTTAGATCCCAGTTATCAATTTTTATAAATTCAAACTGTCCCAACTACCTTTACAAAGTTTCAAATAAACTCTCATATTTATGTGCACTCTGAGGGATTAAAAGGGATTCAATACCATAAAGCAGTTAACACTTCACTTTATTACCTGTACACATATATAATTTAAACTTACTTTATTAATTATGAAAGGGATTAGCTTATGACAGTCCTCTCTCCACAGATTCGGATACCGGTGGCTGGGGACCTTGGAGCGAGTGGACGCCCTGCTCTACGAACTGTCTGGGGGGAACTCGCAATCGCTACCGATTTTGCGATTCACCACCCCCGCGATATGGCGCCAAATTCTGCGAGGTAAGTAACCCCAGTAACCCCTGTAACCCCAAGAAACAATTCGGTAGATTAACCTCTGAACGACCTCTGCCTCCACCTGATTTGACAACGTTAATAGTCAAAGTTTGATTGAGTGCTCTGAGAAATGATTAATACTCAAGCACATCTAAGACGATTTCAATAAGTGCTAAACTACAACTGAAGACAGGCCAACTTCGCCCGACTCTGGGGACTTTGTTACCCTAGAGATTGCTACCAGTTTAGTTCACATTTCTTTCGACTTTCTTACACTGAAGAAGTTTTTAAAACCCATTGTCATCAAAATGTTATCAGTTTAATACATATGAACCCTATTTAATATATTTAAATATATATTTAAATGGATTAGGTTAAATAAACTCTTAAGGTCTCAACCATGTTTAATGGTTTGTTAAAAAATTATACTTTTTAAGAAATTTTGTTATATTGGAGAAAACAATAGAGTTTAGTTTTTTCTGTACTATTCCTATATCATTGTGTATTATAAATACTATAATATTTTGTTTCCAGGTGGTTAGTTTGATAATAGTTATAACTTAAAGTTATATTTCGAAGATATTACCCACTTTCTCTAGAGAAAATTTCTTTCAGTGTACTCCTCCTTGGCCAAGTGGAACTATTTCAGTGTTTTTGTTTGTGGGGCACTGGAGAAGTGGGTGGTATGTTATGTTGTCTCCGAGCGTATTTCCACACTGCGACACTTGCTCCAGATTGCGTGGGGAATTTACGACGCTTCCGACAATTGTCGGCCTACTGCGCCTCGCTTTATCTTGTTTCTTTTGTTGAGCCGAGTGGAACAGTGAACTCATCCAGTAACGGCAGCAGTTCCAGTACCCGTACCATAACCATCCACATCCGCGCATTTCATTATCCAAAAACTTCCGGCATCATCATCCAGCGATAGGGGCACATTTGCCCGTACTTTGCCAACTTGTTTGGAACAATTACAGGCAAAGTTTTTAAATGTTCTGCACACTTATTGCAAGTAGTTCTTACACGGGAGTTGTGCCACGGATGCTGGAACAATGGCTTCGCCGTGGGGCGACTACAATTGAGTGGGTGTGTCCAATGAGGGGGGGGGAGGTTGGGGCACCTCCTCCACTTCCACGCACCGGGCTTTTCATAACAATTTGCATTTGCGCCCAAAGGAATTGCTCGGAGGCGTTGCTGCCCATGTGTGTATACAAATATTGCCCCACGGGCTATTAATCAAACAAAGCTCCGGCGCGGCAGGCACTATTTGCTTTTAGAAAACACGGAATAACCTTTTGTGACCACAACAGCGCCACAAACTCAAATTAGTGGCTTTCGAGTGGCTCTTGAAACATGTTTAAGCCTAAAATATTTAGTATTTTTGTCATTTAGACACAAAAACACGGGGAAAGCATCATCAAATAAAGAGGCTTTTGTTCTCAAATTAAATTTTTGTGGTGTTATGGATGAAATTTAATTTAACATTATTTAAAATTTTAAAATTGACTAAAGTCTGGTATTTTAAATGTTCAATTTAGAACCATTTTTTTTTAACCCGAATACTAGTCCAGTTTGTTAAACTATAAAATACTCTGCTTTAAAATATTCAGGTGGACTTGTGAAAACATGCGACAGTAATATCTGGATGAAAACCAAATATTACAAAAATAATAATTCATATATTTGAGAACTCTCTTTAAAGATATTTTACAAATGGGGAATTCTTCATATGATGGGCTTAGTTGCTAGACATTTCTTCCTAGAAAAATATAGCTTTGTGGGTGGACTACTTTAACTATGAAGGTTATGGGTTAAGCTTTTAAAAGCTTTTATCGCCTTGACAACGGTAGTTCAACTAGTTGTTATAATACAGCTTATTTTATTTAGACAAAGAACGATGGATGTTAAAATTCCGACTCACAAACGATGTCTTTGACATATTTTTCAAAAATCCCAAATACACGCCAAAATTGTTAGACAGTCAAGTTGGATAACGTAAAGAAACCCACAAGATGCCGCCGAAGGTGAAGAAGGAGAAGAAGGATGTGAACAAGGTGACCCAGGTGGACAGGACCTTCTATGAGCTGACCATCACGGACCTCAACCAGAAGTTGGCCCGCCTGCGATCCCACCTGACCAGCGTCGATGAGTCCAACATAACGCTAACGGAGAAACTAAAGGAGGTTGAATCCGATGGAGTAGATGTGGCTGCCCACTTGGAACGCACCTTGGCGGAGAGGAACAACTCGATCACCGAACTGGAGGAGCGTCTGGTGGAGATCACCAAGGTGCGCGACGTGGAAAACCGCTTGGCGCAGGAGAAGATCGGGGATCTGGAGGCCAAATACAAGGCCATGCATGACCAATTAACCTCTGAGATAAAGCTGCTCAATGGCAAGCTGAACTCTCTGGACGAGTTCCGCATCCAAAGGGATGTTCTGCTAGCCAAGTTCGATGACCAGGAGGCGGATCTCAATGAGAGGGAGAAGGATCATAAGGAAGCGCTCTACAATATGGAACAGCGGGCAGTGGTCGAAAAAGATGCTTTGAAAAAGGAGGTGGAGCAGAAGCTACTTCAAGTCTCCGAGGACTTCACCCGCTCCAGTGAGATTCGCAATGCTGGCTACACCCGTCGCCTGATCCGGGAAAATATAGCCCTACAAAAAGAGATCGATCTGCTGGTCATGTCCCAGATAAAACTCCAGCAGGCCTATACCAACCAGAAGTCCAAGCACAAGGAGATGGAGGAGCAGTACAGCGCCCTCGACCAGATCAAGAACGAGCTGGTCCGCAACTCCGTGAACAAGATCAAGATTATCGAAGGTCTAACCCGGAACTATGAGAAACTGAAGGAAAAATATGTGGAGGTTTTGCGCTACCGCAAGGCCTATGAATCCCATATCCAGGCGGAGAAGTGCGAGAATGTCAAGCAGAAGGATGCGGCTGCAAAACTCCGTAATTTGGCTAAACGAATGGAGATTGTGGAGTTAGAGAATCGGAACCTGGAGGTGGTTCATGCCCAGCACGAGACCGAGATCACCCGACTACGGGGAGTCATCCAGGAGATCAAGTGCACGGTGCGGGATGCCATTGTTGCGGAGCAGGCGGCCAAGACCTTCCCCGAAAGATTGACTGAGGCCAATGTGGATGATGCCACGGTGATAAAGGAAGTCCGGGAGGAGGCCATCTCGGTTTGCAAGCTGAAGCGCAGCGATTTGCTCTCCCAGCTGCTGAACATTGTGAGCTCCCATTCGGAGCAGCTGCCAAGGACTCCGTCGATTGCCTCCATTGGCAGCGCCACCTCATCCCTATATGCACCCGGTAAAATGGGCTTTATGCCCTCCCGACCCAAGGCCACGCCCTTCGATGCGTTTCGCAGCGAGGTCATCGACCAGGAGCCGGATCGCACCATTCCAGAGGACCTGCAGAAGCAGAAAATGCAGGATCGGTTGATAACCTCGCTGCGCGGGGACGAGAACACCATCATCGATGTGGAATTCGGTACCACTTTGTACGTTTCATCTTCGCGTGAGGACGATCTCATCGAGGTGGAGGAGGAACCGCTGGAGGAGCCGGAGGGATCCACCAGTTCCATGTCGGTGAAGAAGCCGAGCAGCGAGGGATCCGTGGCCCCACCCGGAACCGCACCACTTGCAGCTTCCGCGTCCTCGAAGGCTATCAAAACTGTGCCCAGCATGGGAACCTTGGACACACTTACGGCCACTTCCAAATTGACGGGCATCACCAACGAGGACGAGGCCGAGGAGGAAGGCGAGGAGGAGGACTTCGACGTGCAGTTCATCTACTAGCAGTCTTGTTCACAGTTCGTTGTAATTTTGTTGAGAGTTTAATAAATATCTGCAAGCACAATACTTTTCTGTACCTCATAAAGTTTCATATGATTTATGATTCTGCAGGATTGGTTGGAGAAGAATCTTTATATTCTGATTTTGGGAAAAAAATTGTTCAATACATCTCTTTTCCTGGTTTTAAATCGGATTCTGAGTACATTTTGGTACTAAAGTACTATTCCGATATTTTTGAAAATTTAGTATAGTGTTCAAAACACCTAACTTTTAAAGAAAGAGAAGCAACCGCCCACCCCATATTTAATTTGCATACAAATAGTTAACATAAATAACACTAGGTATAAATGTTTCTTTTTCAATACTACTACTACTACTTTTACTAAGATTATAATATGAGCTCTCAAACATAGGCATACGAAATTTAATTTTTAAATGTGATAACTTTATGTTTATGCTATATTTTTTTATAGGGTCCATCAGTTGAGACCCAGAAGTGTGGCAAGAGCATCGCCGATACGTGGGACTGCATTTACGAGACATCCGGTACGGTCATAACCAAAGAGAATAGCACCGAGGTTAGCCAGGAAATTGGACCGGGATGTCGTTGCGGCTGCATTGTACATCTGGGCTCCTCGAAACCCAAAAGGATCATTGCGGGAGCCACACAAAGCTGTCCTGGCCGTTCATTCTGGCTAATACAGGTACGAACCGTTAGCCAACAACCCCCCATCGTTTAACTAAAAAAATAAGCTCACACTAGAAAATAGCGAAAGTTAAGCAAAGTTAAGCCCTTTGGCATTTGGTCAAGTTTTGAAAGCTTTCAAGTTGTCTGCCGCCATAACTATAAAAACGAACAATGCCAAACACTCAGAAGTCCAAGTCCATAAATAAAATTCCGCTACGCTTCGGAGGCTGCCCCCAAATGACAAAGGAGCCCCACTTAATGTTCCATGCCATGGGGTACTAGGGGTCGAAGCTGGTCATCACTGGCCAAGGGGGTTGAACTCAATTCATGCATAATAAATGCCCCACTTGGTAGGCGTTTTGGCCAGTCCCGAAACTATCAATGCGTAAGGGGTCCATTGGGGTGAGCTGAACTCTATGTACCCGGTACTTATGGATGAAAGGGTACCTTAATTCAAGGTAGTGCTTGAAAAATCATATGTTCAAAACAGGCGGAAAGATGGGATATGAAAAATGTATGTATGTAATGCAGTTTTTGAAGAAGGGATGAAAAAAAAGCAGAAAAAAAATAATAATAAAAATAATAATATTGTAAAATTTGGTAGATGAATAAAATAAAATAGTTTAGAAGAAGTTCACAGAAAAATAATTTTGAGAATATTACAATTTAATTTTTAACCATTAAGTTAACCTGAAATTTAATATTATTTTTCTTCGTATTGGGTATCACTAGAATGTGTATCACCGACTTTACGGCTCATACACACTTTTGCTCACCCCCATTTTGTTCGATACAATTGGAATGATTAGACCTGCCAATTGGCACGTTCCTTGGGTTGAGGGGAAAAGTGCTGATGGGGAGGAGGGTAAATGGTGATGAATGCCTGACCCACTTCGCCAGCTTCCGTTAGACCCGGAATATGGGAAGCCCCAAACACTTTCCCGTATGTTCACAAACTCTGAAATTCCTTTCTTCGCAGGTGGATGGCGAGGAGAGCATTTCGCTGGCACTGAGTTTCCTACGTTTGCCCTGTGCCTCCCAGTACATAAAGGTGCGCGATGGTCCGTCACTTTCCTCCACTTTGCTGGTGGAACTCAATGGAGGTGGATTGATCCTCAAGGGAGTTGGCGTTCCAGTGGCCATCGAGTCGAGTGGTGGCCAACTCCTGGTGGAATTCTCCGCCGGCGATGGCCAGGCGGTAAATGCATCCACTGCAACTCAGGAGGGAAATGCAGCCTGCACCGGAGGATTCATGGCCAGTGTGCAGCAGCAGTTGGGTGAGTAAACGCAAGAAATGTTGCTAAAATTTAATAAATAATAAATGCATTTTAACAACAGCATCCAGGAACAGCAACAGTAGTACCACACTTGTGGCCGCCACCCGTTTGGCCGGCAAAACTCGATCTATAACCCACAAACCCATGTCCAGACTTCGATTTACCCTGGTGCATCTGAGTGCCATGATCTTTGCCAGCATCATCATCATAATAAGCGCCCTTTTAGGTGGGTTTTTCGGAATTATTACTCACTTCTAGAGACTAATAAATGGTTTTCCTTAGGTGCTCAATATGTGGTGCGATATCGAAAGTACCACTTGGCAGTAGCTCGGCGACAGGACGAAGGATCCCGGCTCCATACTCCTAGGGCTTCGTTGAGTTCCCTGCAAGGACCGCCCTCACGAGCCATGTCCACAACTACCCTGCTTTCGGAGGTCATCTACATGGTGAAGATGCGACCCAAACACCACCTACGCCACTCCATTCTTCGCGAGAGTGTGGACGCCGAAAATCTCACCAATGAGACGGAGTTCAAGGAGTCGGACTCTCAGGGAATGCTTTCCAAGTGGTGAGTCCTAAATTTTCATTTTGTATTTGCAATACAAATAAAATATATGATCAGAAAGATGACTAACTTATGTGATTATTTTTCATCCAATTCTATTTTAATTAGCATGTATTAGTAGTAAAATTAAAAACTAAATATCCCTGAAAGGAAGTTTAAAATTTCACTTTTTAAATTCAATTTTAATTATAAAATAATGAAAATAATATATTATTTTCAATCCCTTGCAGCGCTGAAGTCAAGGAGTTGGGAAGCTCGGCATCCATGGTCACTCTGCGCAACGAGCGATCCTCGCCAGCGCGATCTCTGGACACTGGAAGTGTAATCGGTTCGCCCTCCTCCGCTGAGGCCGAGCTGGCCGCTGTACACAGCAGGACAGATGGCTCCAAGGACTCGCCCAGCGATGACCGATTGGAGGCGCCGAGCTGCAAGGACAGTGCCAGGGACTCGGAATCCATCATATCCTCGGGCATGAGCTCCCTGTGCAACAGTCCACCGATGAACAGCAAGCGGCTGAGCAAGTACTCCGATCGCTACGATGCGGTGACCCTCAAGTTGTTGTCCTCCAGATTGGATGAGAGCCTGCAGGATGCCAGTTCCCTGCACTCAGTGACCGAATCCTTCAGATTGGGTCGCCTGGGATCCCGTAGTGTCAGCACTTCTCTGACGAATGTGAGTTAAGAGGTTACTCTGGGTTTTTATCAGTTAAAAATTTTAAAAAATTAGGTCTATCTTAAACTCTGAAGAACTGAAAACTAAATACATTTTTATTTTACAGGGCTGCTACTCTCCAGCTGCCAGCGTGGTGAGCACGGCCACTATCAGGACCACCAGTAATCCCAAGGAGTCCAAGGAGAAGCAAAATCGTAGAAAACTGCTGGCCCGACCAGGTTCAGAATTTTCGCTCGGTAACCAGGAGGAACTTGAGCTCGATTACTACGATTACAACGTGATCAATGCTGGGTCGGCGCCTGGCTCCTATCTTGGAATGGACCCGGCCTACCTTATCTGGATACCGCCCTTCGAAGAGGTGGCAGAACGGGAAGAGGACGACAAGACGCCGGAGCCAGAACCGAATCCGGAGAGAGATGAGCGGGAGCCGCTGTACGAGGAGATCCGGATGCCCAAGTACGGGCACTATCTGAGTCCGGCCAGCAACACGGAGTCCAGCAAGTCCACTACGGCTGATAATACACCCAGTTCCGAGGAGCGATCACCTCCGGACAGTGGGCGACCTTCAAAGGCCACCTCACCCTGCGATGGAGCGGAAAAGGGAGCTAAGTCCCTGCCCAAGCAACCCACTCCATTTATGTCCAGAAAGCAGCGACGTCAGTCCAAGCAGCAGATGCAATCCAGTTTGTCATTGAGCGCAGGTTCCCTCGATCATGAACAGCGATCGGGAAGGAATTCGAAAACCCCGATTGAAATTCCTGCAGTGCATCAGAAATTGGAAACCGAACTGGAACCAAACGACTCCATGACTGGCTCTTATGTTGAAAAGGAAACGGCTGTGGAAAAATCTTCAGGGGATCTGCAGGAGTTCCTATCTCTCGATGACATCCAGTTTGCCGATGAGAGTGGCAGCGATTACGAGGCCGTAAACCTCAAGAAAATACCCAAATCGGAACTCAATCTAAACCAGGATGATGTTCGATCTAAGCTTCTTCGAAGAAAAGAGACAAAGTCAAAGGAAGTGTCTGTATAACCCAAAAATATTATTGTACATAAAGTCAGCACAAGAAAGGCGGTATATGTTTAGCTTAGTTTACGATCTTGTAAAATACGGGTAAATATTATATATCAGCACCATAAGAAATGTAGACCACCTGGAGTAATTCTGTTTTTAAAGCTAAGCCTTAAGCTCGTCTCAATAACATGTATACCTAAAAATCGAAAAGAATGTAGAGCAAGCTCTTATCTAGTCTCAAAGCTCTTATAAGGCTAATCTGTTTAATCTCTCGTTAAAATGTATATATCGTAGCTAAGGTTCACTGTAATTTAAGTATTTATTCGCACATGGCTATGTAAACCACAAAATTATATGGAACTATTGAGTTATTTATACAATTTTATTTGGCAATAACTTTGAATTAGACAATTGGAATTACGAAATTTTGTGATCTTCATTTTGTGCTTTGGAGCATTGGAAATTCTAGTCAATATGATAGTCAAAATTAATTAGCATTTTAAAATCAAAAGATGTTTTTGTTTTAACCAAATAATAAGCCTTTTTATCACTTCGACCTGTAGGAAAAAAACTTAAATAAAATACCTGTATAGAAGAGTGTTTTGAGAATTTGTTGGGTGTGGGTTCTGTTGTAAATGAAAACAATAATATAACCCGTATAATAAATATCAAAGATTCCTTTCGGAGAGCACGAATTGCTAGAATTTATTTTTTTTGACTTATAAGACATACGGATTTGAAAAGAAAATAAATATATTTTATTTTCTTCTCAAATTCGTATGGATTAATTCGATATCCTTTTAAATAATTGACCTCTTTCAAAAACAAGTAATTGATTTACTCTCCTTGGGAAAAGTTATGGAATTACATTTCTTGGGGAAAGTAATCGACCTACTTTCACAAAGGAGAGTAATTGGATTTCTTTTCTTTGGGAGATTAATTAACTTTCTTTCTGTGCTAAAAATTATAGTCCTGCTCTCCAAAGAGTAGAGTTCTTTTTTGCTGAGATCATGTAAACTAATAGGTCTAGTTCTATTGGGTTGATCAGGAGGTACGAAGGGAACTGTTTTTTTTCCGGGTTCACTCTCAGTTTCAATATTTGCTCGATATGCCAATAATTCACGTCGTCTGTGTTCTTTTCGCATCTCCTCCAGAAATGGTGCTTCCTTTTCTGCCGGATTTCGTTTTATGGTTCGACACATAATGCAAGCGGTTTTTCTTTCCGTGGGTATTACATCCTCAGTCTCATCATCGGCTGGTTTTGGCGTTAGTTTGGGACTAGTACTGGTCCTTTTACTTACATTTAAGCCCTTTTCTACTGATATACTTATCTTCCTTTCATATATTTCAGTATAGGGAAATAACAGTAAGTCGCGGTCCTCGATTCCCTCAAGATCGATATCAAGAATTGAAGACGTATCGGTATGATTTCCATCTTTTTCTTCGCGATTTAGATATTGTTTTACCCTCTTCAATCGCTCGTTATACATTTCCGTGGACATACCTGATTTCGTACTTAATTTCCTGGACACAGAGCCGTACCTTTCTAAATAGTTTCTGCGTTCTTGTGATTTACGGTATCCTAAAAGGAAACTGCCTGGCCTGTAAGGATTCAGATTACTTACTTTACGTAAATACTCATCGTATTGATAGTCTGATGCCATTAAGCCCTTATCATATTGCTCATCGATACTGTCATAACTTTTTAAAGAATTTACTGGAGTGGCAGCTGATGTTACAAGCCCTGTGGGTGACTCTTCATCATTCTCCCTCGTTTTAGTTTGAGTTGGGCTATCCACTGATATTAGAGTTTCTTTGTTCATATACATCTGAACCTCTCCGTTTTTATAGATGCTAACTTTACTTTTATTTTCCTCTATTAAAGAAGGTTGAAGAACACTAAAAGATTTTGACCTTAAATAAACGGTTGTCTCATCTTTGTTGTCTCCGAGCTGCCCAATGGTTCTACTGGGTTCCTGTTGAACGTTCCAAGAGCCCCTGTCTATATACTTCTCACCGTTTTCTTTCAGCTTTTTGATGTCTGTAGATTTTGTTTCCTTTTTGCCCTTAGCCTTATTACCCTGTAGAGAACTTGTTTCTTCTGAAGGGAGAGTGGTTACAGCCGCTTTTCCGCCGTTATAATGCCTCTTCTGCTTCCTGATTTTACGGGATTTCATTTTTCTGAGGACAGTTGTTGTCTTGTCTGCGGTTGCTCCTTGCTTTTCAGTGGTTCCATTCTTTTCGTTGTTTCCTATCAGCTTGTTCGTATCAAGAGATCTCTCCTGAACTTGATTAAATTCCAAAGTGGAACGTTTTGTAATAAAGGATGTCGATATCACCGAGTCCGTATCTTCGTTTGCATTTTTACCACGAAAAATATACTTATCTTCCGGAGCAGGGGGTTGTGTTACCCTTTCCTTTAAAAGTTCAGTGATGGGACGCATATTGCTTAGTAAATCGTTTGCCTTGTCGATTTGCCTTATAGATTTTTTTCGATTTTTTCTAGTCTTTTCAAATGTATCGTAATCTTTATGGATACTTTTTAAAGGATGTTTGACAACGGGAACCTTACTGTTTGAATTATAAACTCTCTTTACTATTTTTTCACTGGCGTCAAATTTTTGTTCACTGTTAGATCTTTTATGAACCCTATGAATCGCTTTCAACAGTTTTTTTGCTGTTAGGGACGTGTATTTTGATTCAGCAGTCCCGTCTTTGGAATGCCCTTCCTGCTCACGTATTTTATTATATCTCGCTTGAACCTTTAGAATCTTTTCTTCATCTTCTTGGAAGGCATCTTTTGAAGAAGTGTCTGTCTTCTCTGTTTTTTCTTTAAAACTTTCTTGATCCTTTTTTGTTGCTTGGGGTATCTCTCGAACCGTCGTTTTAACAGGACGATTTGCAATGGGAGACTTTGATTTTGATAAATTAGTCGTCCCGACTGACTTGTGTTTGAATATCCACTGGTGCTTTAAGTGCTCCACTGATCTTCCTAGGAAAAAAGGATCTGTCTTATACGATTCCTGTTTTAAGTTTTCATTCCTTTCCTTTCCCATTTCTTTTGTCTCAATATTTCTTTCTTGAATCTTATAAATCTCAATCTTAGGGCGTCCGCCAAAAATAGATGCCGTTGTTGTCCCTTTCGAATTTCTTCCCCGAACAATATATATCTTATCATATAAATTTTGGTTTTTAAAGGTCTTTAACCTGGAGGCTGGCTTTTTTATGGCTTCAGGATTTTTTGTGGAGATTTTCCTGCCTGTTTCTTCTTCGGAATTTCTCTGAAGATCTCTACTTCTTAACCTCTTTCGAACTTTATTAGTTCTCTTTACTTGATGTTTGGAAATAGAAGAACTGGAATCAAATTCAGGAGCAGTCTTTGCGTGATGGATAGGATGTTTGGTAGTAAGCTGCTTTGACCTCAACTCTCGAACCTTTAGGACATCTTTATTAGGATCCTGGGTGGTGGGAACATTTAAGTTATTTTCAAGACTTGCATTGTTTCTATCTTTTTTTATACTTGTCTGTGCGATTCTCTCTCGGCCTTGTAATATATCATTGAAAGTATGTTTGGTAGTAAGCGATTTTGATCTTAACTTTTGCGTTGACCTATGGGCTTCTTCTTTTAAATTTTCATTTTGCTTGTTGCCTCTTGTTGGAAATTTTAAGGACTCTTTCTTGGATGTTTTGGATGTAGATGACTCCGGTTTAGACTGACGGCCTTTGGAATTCGAAAGCTCATTGGTTCTTTCTCGAAGTTTATTGATATATATTATTGGATAATTGACTTTAGATGATTTCGGTGGTGATCTATCAGTTGACTTCAGATGTTTGCTCTTAATCTGCCTGTTTTCAGTTGGGACCGGACGAATTTTATAGACTTCCAACATAGGAGGTTGCTTAGTAAGTGAAATCTGTCGGTCTGGGGACTTTTCGTATTGGGGTTGCCTTTTGCTTTTAATGTGCGTCCTTACAATATCGTATATGTCATTGTAAATGCTGTCGTTTTTGGAATCACGTTTAAATTGGGCATCATTATTTTTATATTTATATCTGGAACTATCTTCAAAATGCGGCTGATCTTGACTGGCATGAAGAATTTGATAGAAGGTATTTTTCTTCGCCGCCTTTGAGTTACAACTTAACGCACAGCATTTTTTCTTTGGGATCATACAGGATGCAGATCCGGCTAAAGGAACTTCCGGAGGCGATCGAACCCTTTTTCCCTTACAGACGTCCTTCTTTCGTTGGTTGGTTGGCCAAGCAAGAGTGCTTTGATCAAGTTTCTGAATGCTATACAAAACATTCGAGATTGAATTGGGGAGATATTTTGCATTTGGATTAATTGGAATGGAAAACTGTAACCTCTCCATGTACAGGCAATTTCGATAATAAAATACTTGTGGTCCAAAAAGTAATATTTTTTCTATATTTCAATAAATTTGTTTACGATTTAGAGCAATTTATTGCAAATGTGAAATTAGCTGCATAGGCTTACTAAGTATAATTATGATTCAAGAACCTGTACGCACCTTTTGGTAGGAAGCAAAAATTTATATTCTTAGATTAACAGCTACATTCTGAACATTAAAACAAATTTTCCCGTTCAATTTTACTCTTCTCCTTTCGGTAAAAAATATTTACAATATTTTTAGTGTCTTCCCCTTTTAACGAATATTCAATTAAAGACACTTATAGCTCCCGCACCAGAAAAAATCTGAGTCGTATATTATTCAACATATTTATTAATAAAGTTCCTGGAAAATATTTTGTTTTTTTTTAATAGGGGACAGGTGCTTCTTATAGATATAGAGATATACATTAGAATAATGTTAATTGATGACTAGTGTGTTATTATTTAACTGCCAACGATTGGCTAAATTAATTGGTCCTGTAGTGCCTGTTTAGAAGCGTTTTTGTTTTAGTTTGTCATAGGTACTCGATTACGATCTTTTGAATACATTACTTGTTTATTAGGTAGGAGCCACTATATATCTCTCCGGAACGACTTATCCTAAGGTAACTTTTATATAACTGATATCAGGGTTTTTATTGCGTTGCATTGGTTAAACTTTTTCGTGTTTATAGTAATGACAATTTGGAAACTAAAAGTTGTGATGTGAATTTGGCAAGCTGTTTAAAAGTTGCACTTAAATACTTGTGCCAAAGCATGGTTCTTGTGAGGTATGTAATTAATATCATTTATTATAACTATCTTTAAACTGCTTACTTACTAATTATACTTTATAAAAAGCATGGTGGTTCAAAAGCATTATACTTGTTAATATTTCAATCTATGTATTCAACGTCATTTTACTTCTATATTAATTAAAAATTTAAAGCACAATTTTATGTAATATTGCACAACATAATCGTTTAGGATTAATTATGTTACGAGAAGGAAAATGTCTTTTAATAGAATGGTTTTTTAGTTTACAAGTCATTTTTATAAAATTTTAGAACTAGCCGTAGTGGTAAATAAAATTTAAAGTTGATCCCTTGGGCAATAACTTTGTTAGTTAGATGAACAATTAATATGTATGTTTTTATGCCTATATTTAAATATAAAGCGTCTGATATTTGGTTTTATAAATTTGACATAACATTTTTGTCCAACACTATCGTTTTCTTAAATCTCTTAACATTTTAAAGTTCTTTATAAATTATGTCTGAATATAGCTTATAAAAGAGCGCATTATAGATTGTTATAACTATATATAATTTAAATCAAAAGCGTAGGGGAATGGCCATTAAATTTGCTAAGAAATGTTGTGACATTAGCAGTAGGTTTTTTCTTTTGCAGAGATCTCATATGTTTTACCTTTAATTCTTTTTTTATATTTGGTAATTTTTATACGTAAATGTTAACATTCGTTCGCAATTCATTTTATATTTTTAATAAGTGACTTAAACAAATACGAATGTGCTTTAAATGCTTTAAGTGGAGCAAATAAAATCCGTATTGAAAATTTTATCAAAAACATAAACTTAGCTAGTTTCTTAATAATTGGGTTAGCTTAAGGCTTCTTAGGATCAATAACTTTAGACTCGCAGTCCGTGGGATCGATGTCGTGTTCCACAACCAGCGTATTTTTTGAGATCTTGTCGGCCAACAAAGCCACGGGATCTGAAGCGGTTTTAGCTATGGCCGATCTGCCAGTTGAACGTCTCCTTATATTCTCGTCCTGCTGCTCCTTCCTGTGCAGATCACTCAACCTGAATGCCTCCAGGAACTCGTTTAGATCCACTTTACCATCTCCATTAAGATCCATCATTCGGCATTTCTCCAGCATCTCTGCCTTGGAATAGGCACCTGGCATATGTGCCACCAGTAAATCAATAGCAGTTTCAAACTCATCTAGTGTGATTTCGCCTAAGAAACATAATACTTATTATGAGTACATTAAGGCACATTAAGATTTCTTTGACAATACCAGAGTTATCAGCATCAATGATATTAAAAATAGCCACCAAGCTTGCCTTGTTGGCATATAAAGCGTCCATTACTGACATGCCGTCAGCTTCAGCTTCGAGCTAAAATAATAACAAATAAGTTAATATAGTCTATAGTCTTAGAACTAAAATAATACACTTAATCATTTTCTAAATGGAAATATATATTTTTTATTACATGAGGTAACTACTTACTATTACATCCGTGTCCAACAAATCCAGGGTCCTGTTGTAATTAACCTTCTGGCTATCTGTTCCCGGGGCCAGTTTTTCGCGAAGGAGTCGCCAGGGCAATCCCAACTTGGTTACCTTCTCCATCACCTTGCACCAGTTTGAAATGGATATGTGACCACTATCCTTGGGATCGTACCTCCTGAACTCGTCCTCCAGTTCATCTCGGTGATCACGCATACGCACCGCCAACTCCTTGAGCGCCGAACTTTCCACAATGCCCATTCGCTGTTTGAAAGACAAACGCTTTGTTTGTGATGCCGCCGATATATACTGAACAAAATGGGGCATCAACTGGTTATTCAAGCGAATATAAGCCCCTTTATTGGATCCAATGGCATAGTAATTCGAGGCCGAAAAAATTGTGATTATCTATGAAAATAGGGAACAGAAATAAATAGAATTAGAAGCTTTAAACCTTCAAAACGGTCGTTTAATAAACTTTCAATGACACAAAATTCACTCAGTTGGCACATGTCACATGTCCAAATTAACTAAACAAAATCAATACACTTATGGCCGCTTGTAATAATTATTATTCAACCGCAGTATGCCCATTATCCTCTTAATTCACTATGCATGTAAATTGCAAATGCATGGCTGACAGGTCAAAGTTGTGGGGGGCTCTGAAACGACCACCTCAATATATTGGCAAAAATATACCTAGTTATGGGTATTACAACGTTCTACTTTATGCAAGAAGTTCTTTTCCAATATTCAGTATACTTTTAGAGTGCTCCTTTTTATATTGTTTTATATGGATAATAAGTAAAGAAAAAGATAGACCCACCTTGTTGTCATGCATAAACTCATGACCATTGGGCTTACATTCGTGGGACCGAATGACGTAGCTGAGTCGATGTCGCTGGAGGAAGTTGTCGGTCACATCCGGACCAAACCAAACACCAGCTCCTCTTAGGGTGTTCGGGACACAACCCATTGTGGCCTGCGGATCGCTCCACATAATGTCGAAGATCTGAAAGAACACTTTTTAATTCTATATTACCTATGGGTGATATTTTCCCCCATTACCTGCTGCCACTCGGTTTTGTCCAGCGGTTCACCATCCGTCAGTGGAGGCCGCAAAATAGACACATACTGCAAGTGAAATGGTTAAGTCATGTTGCGTGGATTGGTATTGGGTGGAATAAATTTACCTTGCCCCTGTCAATACTTTTGATAAGATCTAGGCTTGTGCTATCCGAAAAACCTCCGTGGACGATTAAGACTCTGCTATTAAGCACGGAGCCAAGGGGAAGCCATCGGTAGACCTCGTCTATGAAGGCCAGAATTCGCTTGTGATTCCGCTGCACACGTGAAAAGTATTATTAATTTAAGTCATCATCATTGTTAGATTCTTAACTTTTCCTTATAACATCTAAAGATTTTTACAAATTAATTATTTACTTTAATAATTTGATATTATTTTATTATATTCTTAAAAAAGTCTTTACTTGTGGGATGAAATTTTTATTTATTTTAAAAAAATATATTTTTACAAAACTGTTTGAATCTTTTAGTTGTCAATAGAAATTGTATATAATAATGTAATGAAATATCTTTATAAAAAAATGTTTAATCATTTTTCTCGGTGTAGTAATGGCCTGCGTCTCTTAAAGACTCTCTAACTTACAGGGTACTTGCTTTCCACCTCCCGAATGAATCCATAGCGGGCATTCATGACACTGTCCTCGTGGTTTCCACGGTTGAGGAAAACTGCATTGGGGAAAGCCAAATAGAGTGAGAGAAGCAATAGAAGGACCTCCAAGCCCCGCTTGCCCCTGTCCACAAAGTCGCCATTGAACACGTAGGGATTGGAAGATGAAGGAAGACCGTTCTGCAAAAGATGATTCTATAGTAGTTACCAGCTTTGAGGAAAGCAATCCTTACCTTATGCAGCACCACAAGAAGATCGTCCAATTTTCCATGAAGATCCCCACACACCGTAACTTGTTGGGAAACAGCCGTGGACACCGGGGAAATATTGGGAAGCTGCTTAAGGGATTTGGCTGCCTCGCGTAAGATTAGGGCCACATATTTAGGATGCAATCGGTTTCCCTGCAAAACAAAGCATTTATATAAATTTTTAAAAATAAAACCTTTGTTTTTAATTTCCTACCCGTTTCTTTCGGAAGACGTCAATCAATAGATCGATATGGTTTTTTCGTATTGGCAACTCAATTTTGGCATTCACAATGTCTCCAAACTCTTCAACGAGGTCGTCTTTATCATCCAGTACGGAAACTAAAGTCAAGGATATTATATTTAGAAATATATATAACAATATTGTATTTAAGAGGGAGGTTTTTTAACAATTAAAGATATGACATTATGGGTTTTAGGGAGTATCCAAACCCACCATGAGCGGATCCTTGGTACTGATTCTTCCTGCCCGCAGCCTGGGGCATGTGCTTAATGAGGTCATTGAAGAATTTGTATAGCTATGGGAAAACAGAGGGAACGAAAATAAATTAGCAGAGAGTGGGTCAACAATGCACTTGCGACAAAGTTTCACGGCTGAGTTGATTGCTATCGACTTTTGAAACTCTACAAATGCACTTGACCGACGTCGTCGAGGGTTCTTTTTGTTTTATGGGTCTCTTAAGCTCTCTGTGGCGCCTTCACCTATATAAAAGTCTTATATATGCCTTGTATATATCTACTCACCTCAGCCTGGTCCTGTTCGCTGGCATACTCCAGGTTCTGGAAGATTTGCCAGTTGCAACGCCTCTGCATTTCGCGACGGGCCTGATGCCTGCGATACCATTTCTGGATGAATATTGCCGCTCGGATGGCTGCAAAATATATGGGTAAGGATTTTAAGACTTTACTTCACGTCCAATAAAGTGTTTTATGAGGGGTCTAAAAACATCAAGGGCAACCTGCATGGGGCAAGTAATATGCAACATTTTGAAAGTCTTTGTTATGGCCAATAAAGCCACTAGAAATTTTCGGCTGCCAAGTTTTTCCCCCTTGACATTTTGGCCTCGGTCGCTTATTACTCACAGTACAGTACACTTAACGAAATATATACACATTTTAATCAGGGAATTTTAATCGAGGCGGGATTCGGGGTGCGGGGACTTGGGGATTCGAAATGATTACTCCCACAAAGTACTTGCCGTTCTCATCCATTTTGATGCAAATTTATTCGTCTGCTATTAACACAATGCTGAAAACGTCAAAGACTGTGGCTGGGGAAGGGGCTTTTCTGGGGGTTTTGTTCGGGCTAACAACTGATTAACATTTACGCAGCTATAATTATTTTTTAGCCGCTTTAAAGTCTTTACACACTTGTCTCTAGATCTGGTGGCGAAGGTGGCGCTCTATTCTTTTTCAAATTTATGCAACCCATAAGACAGGGCTTTTCTCAACGATTCGACATCCGCTGAAAACTTCGTTCCGCTTGTAAGTATTATATAAATCGGATGCACAGAAATACCGAACTGAAAAGGGTTTGACAATCAATATTCAGGCTCTTTTCTTAAAGTTTTATCTCAGAAAAAAATATAAGTCACAACAATTCACTAAAATCCTTTAAAACCTGAACAAATTATTAAGCATAGTCAAAATTTAAACTTATTAAAACCGTTGTCAAAAAAATATTTACTACCCATTAAATGTCCTTTAAATCAATTATCTCGGTTGTTTGAGTGTCACTTTTGTTAAATGGAATGCTCGTTAAATTTAATGGCCATTAGTCATCTCAAATTTAAATTACAACAAATTATTAGTTTTTACTCGCAACGCATTTTATTGAATATATCAAGCAATTTATTTTAATTGAACGGTTGTTATATTCCACTTTTGATAAACATCAAGTACTAATTAATTATTCCACTGGCAGCACAATTTAAACGACGGTTTTTGCTTATAAATGCGAATTTATCCGATACAAAAATCTTCAACCACGAACTGTTGTGTCTGACATTTTACGTTTGTCCGTACACACTTGAAACTAGATAGACGACCGACTGGAACTGGAACCTAAAACTGCTCATTTCGTACGCGATACCCACGGCCTGCATTCAGTTTTCTTTGGCTCAAATGTTCTTTTTCAACTTTTGCCACTCACACAATGGGCCAAATAACGTATTTTGTTGACACTTTTAAAGGGGAAAGCAGAAAACATGTCCTAAGGATACAAAGTAGATACATCATGTTTTGTTTATAATATAACACTTTATCACATTCTCAAAAATACTAAAACAAACCCCAATATTTTTTTTGGAGTCGTATCCTTTTTAGGTAAATTGAAAAATAATAGTTTTACTCCGCCAAAATATTAAAATGATCGCAGGAGTGATTTAAGTCAAATACTTTAAAAACTATTTTTCATTTATTTTCTGAATTTTTGGTACCTAATATTCTGGATAATGGGTACACAGAGAGAAATATTCAAATACATTGTTCTTGGATTGAGAACACTCGTTCTTGAAAACCGTGTACGTAAATTTTGGTATTAATGTTCTCAATATTAAAACGAAATGGTGAGAAGAGAAAAGTTAAATTGAGTTTATTTAACAACTTTTTAATGAGTATACACTACTGGCTGGACTAATAGTTTAGTTGTTGAGATATGCAATGTATAGACCGCCAATTCAATTTGATTCAAGCTCAATAAAAAAATTTACAACTTCAAAAATTTTGTTGTATTTTTAAGAACATTTTCAACTGAGTTGAGAACTTCTGAATTATCTCTGTGTAACTTTAGAAGTACTTTCTTGCGACTCCAATATTATTTGTAGCAAGGATTCGTCTACCTAAAAATATTGGATATCCTGTTTTTGCTAGCAACTTTGTCGAAACCTTTCCACTGTGCTTTCCCCAATTACCTACAAAAACTCTGGTCTGGGGTGATGGTAACCTTTCCCTTTTCCAATTTGCGTCCACGTCCGCGTGCTTGTGGGTTAATTTCTTGCTGCGTGACTGGCTGAGTCTACTATGTGTTCATATATATATATAGTGTATGTTGGTTTATAGTCGGGTTTTCACTAATAGCCAGCTGTCCAGCCAAGGCGGCTGCATGAGAATTTTTTTGTTTGTTTTTTCTTTGCTTATGTCGTGTCTCTGGCTTTTTAGATCCACCTGAACCGTTTGTATAGCAAATTGGAACAATAAATAAAGTTAGCGCAAGCGCCGAAACACCACAACAGACATACTTGGCCAAAGCAACTGAGTGTTTCAAAAAGCCGGGAAAGGGCAAATGCAACTGCAGTACAAGGTCCCCAAAAGTCTTTACTTTGTAGCCGACTACAAAAACCCAAGTTTTACCACCCAACGCGAATGTTAAACATAGTAATAAAGTTGCTCTTAACCCACTTATTATGTATTCCGGCCACATGGTAAACGTAAGTGCTAAAATGTGTCCACATACGAGTTTAAGTTTAGGAAAATTGGCCAACTATTTAAGATTCACAATCTTGTACATGTATGTTATGAACAGTTTATGTTTTAAATAATGTAAAGGTATGTCCGGCATTGGCAAGAAGGTATTATTATTATTATCCTTGGTATTATTATTAACTCATATCCTTGATAAAATATAATGTTAGTAGATTTGGAAAGCGATTTTTTAAAGAGTTTTATCTCTATTACAATTGATGATGACCTCATCAAAAGTGCTGACTGAAAAATTTAAAATTAAATTTCCCATATATAAAATATATATTTTGGATACTATTCTAGGATAGGTCTGGCTGTAAAGGTCTAAATTTTAAATGGGTAATAAAACCAATGGGGCATTTGCCCTGGGGAGCTTTTACTATGTGAAGCCCAGAGGCCCTAGTAACTGGATTAGGTTAGTTGCAATCGTTGGTTTCATTGCCCGTTTCCCACAAATCCCCTTTAAATAAACCTGATGATTGTGCACAGAAAAAAACAAGTGAGAATGCCTTCTTTTTTTAAGAATTCGATCCTGAACTCGAAAAACAAAGCATACTTTTTTGGGCTGCTAATCAATACTTGATTTCTAAGCCGAAGATGCTCATATTCATTATTCTTAAAGATCGTAATATTTCAGTGATATTTGACCAGATCAGTGTTCTTTCATTTTGCTTTGTTTTTTTTAAGGAGAGAAGAGTATGTGTAAGGTATGCATTCTGTTCAAAGAATACCTTATTTCTAGCTATTATAAGTTCGGAGATTTATTATTGAGCTGCTTCTATTTTTTTATATTTGTTATGTTTTTAAAAAGTCGATCAGTAATCTTAAACGTCCGACCTTTTATAGATTTGAGAGATCTCGATAGATCTCGCATAAGATCTCGATAGTTTCTTTCAAATATACCAAACTTGATAGTGTTTCTCGCCTTTTCTTGAACTTGCAATATTCTTATACGATCTTTCACAATCTTTTTTGCTTCAGGGCTTATTGTCAGGACTATCCATATCTATACTCACTCTTTTCGGCCCGGGAGGCGCTCATGCCCCGGAGCGGCTTGCGGAAGTGCTTGCACCAACCTCGCCGCTGGAAGAGCTGCAGCAGACTGGAGGCCCTGGTGCTCGTCTGCGCGGCGGATGACTGCGGCTGTCCATTGGGGCCCAAAGTCTGCATGCTGGCGCCCACGCGCTCTATTTCCGACGAGCGGCACGAGGAGGCGTCTTCCACGGAGGAGCTGCGCCGCTTCCCGTCCTCGTCGGTGCGCAGGCACACGCAGCTGCGTAGCATTCCGGCGGTGGCGATGGCGATGTCGATGGCGATTTAGTAATCCAAGACGTGACCCCAGTGCCTCCGAGAAGCCACCACCCACCAGTCACCTCACTGGGATCCACACATGGGTTTTGGGTGTGGGTTGCGGGGCCAAGGGGGCGAGAGGTCCGCCTTATGTCACTCGCCTGACAAGGTAATATAATTTGCCCGCCCGGCAGCTCATGGGCCAGCGCCTTGCCTTGTTTGTCCTTCAAATGGCTGTCAGTCGGTGGATGAGGGATGGTATACGGTTAGGTTCTCCAGGGTTCTCGAGGGGTCCAAGCAGTAGCAGTAGTACGTCTGATGGGTCCGACGTTGGCTAGTCGCTCGTCTCCAGCTCTTAATGCAAATTGATTTTATTTTCGCGTAATTTATTCATTTCGCTGTTGCTGATTGCGCTCCTCATATTTCCTTTGTGCAAAATCCGATTCTTGAATGCTAAAGAAAAACACAACGAAAGTGATTTAAATATTTTCGGGATTTGTCTTGGGGAAAACAATAAGAACAACTTTTACATTAGCTGCAAATGAATTATGCATGCAAATTTAACTTGAAATTAGGAAACTCGGCACATTCATTATTGCTTACTCAACCACGATTACACTCGATTGTAATTATTGTTTGTTCTGGTTCTTATGTACGGTAGCCCATTTTGATTGTGGTCAACTTGTTTATGTTAAGGCTACAATTACAAGCAATTTGTAGTTAATGGTAGAGGAATGCTAATTCTACTGCTATTACAAAGCAATTTCCTATTTCTTAGCCAAACCAAAGAAATAAATAACCGTCTTGATCTGATAAAAGCAATAAAAAACCCTTGTAAATTCCAAATAACTTTGTATCGTTATATAACTCCTTTAAAATACCATAAGAAGCTGTATATGTTATCATTGCGAGCAAGAGGCCACCTAAAGTGCCATAACAATATGCAAATTATGGTATCCCACATCGCCCACGGCGAGACCAAGAAATATAATTCATGCATAGGTGATTACCAGTAAAGGGCAGCAAAACATATGTAAAAAGCCTTGATATTATGTTTCGAATCAATTGACTGCTGCAGGCGAAGGATGGGTTTTCTGGTCAGGACAAAAGAGAGATACACCCCCCTGTTTGTCCAGCATTTATGTTTATGTTTCCTTTCTGTGGGGCTGTGGTTTTGCGGTGCTAGAACCGTTCAACCGATACGCGACCACTATATAGTATAGATATGATATGTATACATGCTAGTGCTATATCCACCGGAACGGGTTGTGCCCGAGGTCCTTTGTCCTGTGTGCCTGTCAGCTTCTATGAAGCCAGAGTTCCCTTGAGTGGCTGCAGACAAACAAACCAATTTTCACCAATTGAGCCATAAAGCCACACGGACAGCCACACTCGCAGACAGCTCCCACACCGACGGCAGATCCACCGAGTGTGAAATTAAAATGCTAACCTGTAGCGGCCCAAGGACCATGGACCCAGGACCCATTCGATGGGGCGAGTCCTAAATATAAAGGCAGCGTTAAAGGTGGTATTGATTAATCGCTGGAAACATAGTGCCAAATGGAATAGCCAGAAATTTATTTGCCAGAAAAGCGTTTCATTTGCTACTTTTCCCACATTATTTTTCCCCATATTTTTCGGTGAGGCTTTGCAGATGCCACAATGTTTCTTCCGGAGCTTATGTACGCAATGAATATATTTTACTTGCAGAATATTACGTTTCACTACATTAAATTTTACCATTTTAATGCAATTACTAATGGAAGCCATTACTAAGGGGCCTTAAATGTAATTGGCCATATAAACATACCTTAAGCTAAGTTATAATAATAAAAAGGTGTAGAAATATTTTCTTTAAAAAATTAAATATACTTATTTACTTTAGTGAATATGTATCCCAAGGTATTAAATAAATGCGTGTATCTCCCTTTAAACTTTGTGTTAATAAGATTAAGTCAGTTTACCTTGTTCAAATATTTCTTACTAAAGAAAATTACCCCATAATTGTCATTAACTAATCCGGACAATAAAAATTATTATAATGGCTTAGAGAAAACCCATTTATTATTCATTTGATACGAGATTTGCTAATGTCAACACATACATTTTAAAGCTTTTATCGACAAAGGAATTATTTTGTCCTCAATTCGCTGGTAATCAAATTATTCTGCATACACCAAAATTAAATTTGTGGTAAAAAAAACTCGTTATGTTTTTTCCATGTACTACTAAAAATGAAAATATTTAACTTTAACGCCATGAATAAGAATGTTGTGTAGATTGGTTGCCAAGTTTGTAAACCTCTATCAACGTCTCTTTGAACTCTAATACTCATGCAAATTTCAATTATTACATTCTGTAGCCGAATATTATGGAACTTGGGTGAACACTTAACCCCCACTCAGCCGAAAAAGAAATTGGCTCCTTACCAGGTAAACTGCTTGGGAATAAAATACAAAAAAGGACCCATTCAACGCAGACATTGCCTGTGCTTTTGGCACTTTTCGCGCGAAAATTTCGTTAGGAAAAATGTAAATGTAGCGGGAAAACCAGGCGCGATGCTTTTATCGAAATTTAATTTGTCTAAAGTGAAAATGACTTACAGCTTAAATGGCTTAAATTCTTTAAAGATTTTCGGTCACATTGTTTAACTTTGAAATTGAATATGGCACGGACCCAAAATAATAAATCACATTTTAAGCGTAGGCTGGCTATTTTTTATGGACCAGAAACCATAAATATAATTAAGAAGTTGAAGAAGAAGTAGAGGAGGAAAACGACATCGGCTTGGCTTACTTATTTTAATTTGTCTTCACTTGCAAAGCTTTCCTAAAAACGTTAACAAATTCAACATAAATCATTAGGCTGATTAGCTTATTTCTGCGAATTAATAGACCAAAATGTAGGAACCCAACACCAAGTTTTTGCTCAATATGTAAAACTTTTAAATTCAATTTGGCAAAGACTTGCGCAGTCAGAAAATATTTCACTTCAATAAGATGACAAATTCAGCATTCATCTGACTCAGAGAATTAGCCATTTAAGCCAATTAACGCAGTTGGCAATGATGGATAAAAAGTTAAGCTAATTCTGAGAATTCAAAGAACATTTCTAAAAGCCCAATTACACGTCAGCTTTTATTTAAAATTTATTTTAAAAATGTTAAGTATTTATCTTGAAATTACAAGAGCTTAACACTTCACTTGATTGAAATTTTTATACAAATTAACACATGTTCCATTTAAAGACTCTTAATTCAAGGGACTTAAATTCCAAAGTATTCTATTGCTTTCTGGTAAACACAAAAGTCATCTTTCTTGTAACAGCAAATATAAGCCAATTAATGCAGTTGGCAGTGACGAAAAAGGTTTTAGGCCAAGTTGATTGATTCGGAGAAATGCTAGCCCACTTTTAGGTGGCCAAGAGCCAACTCTATTTATTTCAATTACCACAGGCTAGTGGCCAATTTCCGGTTTCCGGTCGGCCGGTCGATGTCCGGATTTCTTGGGTCAAGACAGCAAGATAATAAGATTATCCGCCAGCACATTTGCAGGCGGGAATACGTTATTTGTCCATTAATCCCTTGGCAAAGAGCGGGCAGCAGAAGTTGGCATTTTCAGACAGAAAACGGACACTGGCCGTAATGGGTCCTGCCAACTCATCGAGGTTTTCCCTCAAGTTTCCCCTCCTGCCCCCTCCTGCGCCACCCATTTTCCAGCATTTTCCCCAAGTGCGTGTGTGGAGCGATCAAAAAATGATTGTTGGCCTGACTCAATTACGATAAATTGCACGTCAGCCTGTGTGACAATCAGCAAATTTGCCCGCATTTCAGTTCCGCAAACAACGCTTATGGGGCCCAGCAGCAATTAAGTTAGTATTTACTGAAGATAATGTTTCAAGTCGGAGTCGGTGGCTGCATTAATGTATGGGTAAACAATAATTTCTTTGATATCCCCTATTGATGAGAAAGCGGCCCTTGTGTCTAGGCTTTATTTTCTTGACCTCAATTGACAAAAATGTCTAATAAAATAAAAAGGTCTCCTAACAAATCTTTGACAAGTAATTTACTCACTTATTTTGTGATAAAATAAATGTAACGCAAATAAAAAGATACAATTTTACACTCCTTGTAAATCCACAAACAATCTGATTACCTTCGTTAAATTTAATTAAGTTTATATTATTGTATCCTCATTAAAAAATGGATCCATTCAATACAGAATAAAAACAGTGCACGCACATTTTCCTTTGTTTTCGGAATATTGTTCGTTTAATGTTTATTTTGTCAGTAAGCTGAACTGTAATATTAACTCACAGTTTATAAAGCCAATTACGTAAATTAAGATTGTTTTTTATACGCTTTAAACATTTTTAACTGTAAAATGTATATTATGATAAATAAATATAAAAACGCTTCACCAAATTCATTATAAAACAATTTTTTGCATGTACTTTCAACTTTGACAAATTTCACTTTAAAAGCTGCTCGATAAATTCATTAGAAGCGCTAATTTTGCAGAGTGTCTCACTAATTTGCTTTTATTTCCCCCTAGAAATAATTGAGCTAATTATCGGGACTCACAAGGTCAGTCGAGAAATTTGTTCACTCAAATTCTTCGACAGGTAATTTAGTTTTCTACGCTTTTAATTAAGTTGCCGTTGTAAATTTGTTGGAGGACACGTGTCTGGTAACAGGTATACCAATAGGCTTACAGGTGGGATGCCAAGGACCTGCAAGGACCAATGAAAGCATCACGCGCTGCCCATAAAGGTATTCCGTTCAATTTTGCAGTTTTACTACCCAAAGTCGCTTTTGGGGAAGCCCATTAACGGGGCGAGGGTTTTAACGACTTTGGAATGATGTCAGCTCGGATGCTGATGTTCGTCATCGTTAAGGCCCGATTTGTTACTTTTATTTATAAACCAAATTGGGAATTAACGCAGATTGGGCGTCGGCAGCCGACACCTACAGCCATATGGACTAAAAATTCCAGCCAGCTGTGAAAACCATGATTTATTCACACTAACTACACTCAGAAAAGGGAGAACCTTAAAGGACATTCAAAATATGCTTTATGTTCCTCTTTTGTTAGGTGGGTGATTTAGCGTAAAACCCAGAATGGCTAAAAAATGTACAGAAAGCGTATATTTTAAATATGTATAAGCCTGATTGCATCGTTTATGTGGCGATTCGTTGAGGGAGGCTCTGAAAGAAAGCTTTTACTTTCTTTTTATACTTGATGACTGCACATTTTGTGGAGGATGCGAAAGGAAAGGTAACATTTGAAGGGCTGTAAAGCGAATCTGAACAGGAAAACGTTTATGGCTTTCATGCGATTATGTGGAAATGGACGTTTAGTACTTATATTTGATGAATTGCATCACAACCCTCTGCTGTAGAGCTTTTATCCCAGTGTAGCCGAAAAAAGTGAACAAACGCGGCGGCTTAATTGCCATGGAAAAGTATCTGAATACCGGCCTGATGCCTTCGTTTTGGTTAACAAATCAGGCGTGAAAATGACGGCACCTCGCTCCCTGGGGGATGAAAGCTAAACTGCTTAATTTAATCGATTTTCGTTAAGAGTTTTAAATTTCTTATCTTGTTTGGATAAACGAATGGATGTCTGGGGGCTCTTAATGTGGGCAAATCCGTCAAATGCGGCTTGCTGGAAATTCCTTCCGACGGCCTCGTAATATCCTGCGTGTTATAAGTTTATTTAGCGTAATGGATATAAAATTTCTAAAAATTCGTATTTAATTAAATGGAGGTGATTTCTTATCCCTAAAATATTTGACATCAACATCTTGAAATACCTTGCCTGAACAATATCCCATCTTACTGATAGCTTTGAAATTTCTGGCAAACTCCTATCTTTAAACTCTTAAATTTTTCCTTATAAATCCGCACTTAAACATATTCCCCAAGGAACTTGGTTAATAGCCTTCAGTTAATTGCTTTTTGGTTTCAGTCCGATTTCCGCGAACCGACAATGAAACTTTTGCACAATCAACTTAATTCAAGCCGACATTGTAGGGAGACTCTAACCGCAACTTTGTACCGAATTTAAATGACTCGAACTTGGCATTTCGTGTTAGGAAAACACCAGGAACAAGGCAAGTTGAAGGAGCTGCTTTGGCACTGTTTCGGTGACCGTGGAAAATTGGGGATAAGCAAAAAGGAAAGCCATAACAAAAAAAATTAAATCGGAAGTGGTGAGAAATTTGAGGGCTCCTGGCGTGTCGCCCCAAAAAAGAAGCCGTCGGGAATTCGTGCGAAAAAGTAAAAAAAAAAAAAGAAAGGACTCAACCGAACTTTCGGAAAAATAAACGAAATCACGAATATAAGTAAGTTAAATCCCGAATCCCGAGGAAACAAAGGGAGCGTAAGAAAAAGGCTGGAAATCAAATGCCAAACGTCAACGAGATTTGTTGCCTGTGCGGCACATAAAACTCATTCTCACTTTTACAACCACTCGGAGGTGGGCGGTTGCTAATCTTCCGCCGGTCCGCCATCAATTGGCCCGAATCCGAGTGGGCAGGTTGCCCAAATTATGAGTACGGTTGTGGTGTGGAGCAAGAAATCGGGCACAAGGTAAAGGACCTAATAAATTCCTACTCGGATTCAATCCCCAATCCAATTCATACGTGTCCGTGCGTCTGTTTTTATGAACACCTCAATATTTCGGGGTTATTTCTGTATGGTTACAAATTGCGTTCATGTTTAGTTGGTTGCTATTATTTTGGCAGGCTAGGGTTATGGGTATGCAATAATAAACTTGCTTCTTTTAATTGGCATAGAAATTTCCCGTAAGACTCTAGATAAAGTATATTGGATTAATAGGGGTGGGTTATGTTTCTATACATATAAAAGGATGATGCAATTTAAGGACACACCAAAAGTTTGTAAAGATGCACTCAAATCTCATTATATCTAATGAAAAGAATAAACCTTCTTAAGAAACTAGAACGTATGAAAATGCATTAAAGACAATTTTGAAAAGATATTTTAATGATAATGGTTGGAACTAACAATAAAAAGCTTTCTTGTTTTGATGCCAAGTTTACTTTGCCGAAAAAATGTCCAAAAACATAATTTTATTAAATTGCTTCGCCGACACACTATAAATCACGAAACATTTCAAGACACCAAGAGTATTCTTTCGAAATTTGTGCACACTTTAGAAGCCCCCCGCTTTTATTTACATTTTTTCCTCAGTCTGCTCGGCTAAGTCTTTTGTTATTGCTTTTTTGCTTGTTTGTTTTAAAAACATTGCACTTGTCTGTCCTCATTTTACTAAAAAGTTCGCCACTGCCAAATGGCAGAAAGATAGGTCAGAAATATACATACTTATATCTTAACATAATACTTGTCGGGACTTATACACACTAAGCAAACAGCAAATGGATAAATGGATTGTACAAATATTGCGTTTTCTCATGTGGAATACCAAATACCATAAGTAATTCATATGGCAAACACCTTTGGATCGTAATGGAATCGTTTATCTATTATTAATTGGCTGCATGTCTTGTTATTTCGTCTGCTGGCTGTCATCACCTTTCATTTTTCTTTTGTTGTTATTTTTTCCATTAAACCATTTCTCCTGCTTGGACTTGTTCTTGGCCGACATCAGTACATATTTTAAAATTCACTTTTACACAGGGAAAAGTTTGTTTATATAAGTATTTTTTAAATATTTTTAAATTTTCTCAGAAGAAATTTCTTTTACAGGAAGATATGCACAGTAATGTTTTTGATAACTACGACTATATGAATGAACTAAATAATAAATGTACATTTCAAGGTTTTTAAATTTTTGGAAATAAAATACACATTTAAAAACCCAGAAAATTAATCCTAATATTAAAATAAATAAATATATGACAACTTTTTGATGCACTGAACGATTATAAATCAACGCGGCATATGAAAAAGTATATATCACGTTATATACCGTTAAGGTACTTATCTCCTAGAAGCAAGGATTCCCTCAACAGGTAATAATGAATTGATTAATTTTATTAAAAGAATACAAGATTGTTTTTCTAGGTGTACAGATGATAGATGTACTATTTATATGTATGGAACGTTTGGGAATGCATGTTCTTTCACATATAGTATTTTCGAGTGTCTCTCATGCGACGCGTCGGTCGATTTTAGTTTTTTGATCCCATTTAATGCAGGGAATTTGTTGGTAGTTTAGAAACGACGCACAAAATTGAAGAACGCGAACATCCAATTCGGTTGGAAAGTTTTTGCTGACACTTAGGATATGCCGCCGATGCAGCACATTCAGGACTATTCCGTTTCGGCGGCACAAGTGGCCGTAACGTAAAGGCGTGAGCGTAAACAAACACAGAAATTTCATCGGACCAAGAAAAAGAGATAAACGGCGACGGCAGAAATATACGTATACGCCGAGTATGCCATATAGAAGGCGGCAAAAGGCATTAAATGAAGCCACACACAAAAATGCTCGTGGTGACAGATATAACCAGAAACAAAAACAAGGGAAAGGGGGGACCAAGACCAGAACCAGAACCACAACCAGAACAAAAACCAAAAGCATATGCTGCCATGGATCGGAAATAGCGCGTACTGAGCGGAGAGCATTACGTATACGTACGGGTGTACGGATGTACGGGTGTGTCGCGTTCCGTTATTCGGGCGACCGTGGCGCGTGGAATACCGTTACAAACTGAACGCAGGCCACAAGCTCGGAAATCCTTTTTGGCCTCTGCCTCAGTCGCTGCCTCTGTTAGCGTCGCCGTCGACCTCTCACTCTCTCTTACTCTCACCACTTGCCGCCATGCTGCCGAAAGCAAAACAAAGAGCGATGGCCGCATCAGCTGATTGCCCCGTTTCATTGCCATTCCTGTTCATTTTGCAGCGGAGGCTGCGCGCGGTTCTCTCGCTCTCTCCCACGCATTCCGAGTACACTGAAAAAAATGGTTTCCTGCCAATAGTTTTTCCTTTAATGAAGTTAGGCTATTAAAGGTAAAACTTATTCACATATTAAATATGAACAAATTTTCTTGGGTTTGAGAATTTGACCATTAAACAAACCAATCTAAATCCTTCCAATTTCCAATACATGTCATGGAAAATATAGATCCTTGAAATTACATTGAAATTAAATTCCATTTAATTTAAGCCGGCTGCCCATATCATAACTTGAAGCCTTTAGAATTAATAATGGTTATTCAACTTATAAAACTGGAATAAATCAAAAGTAAAATCATCATTAATCTTCAAATTTTTTCCATATCTTTTTCTTGAATCCTATAATTTTTTTCTCCGTGTGGTTAAGAGAGCGAGCAGAGCAGCGATGCTAATCCAAAGATGCCAAGTTTGATAACGTCCCTCGTGTTTGCATTTCGAATTTATGATATGCATCTTCAGCTAAAACTTCAACCAGACGTGCCGGCTGTGTTGAATGATTAAGAAAAAACAGACTAAAAAGAGGAACCAACAAAAAGCCATTCGGTTTGAATTTATCCAGATTGAAGGAGTTCTTCTATAGGAAAAACCTATTTTAGTTTTAACACTTACCGCCCAAATAGTAATTGAAATCAACGTTTTTTGTATATCTAAATGTTATTATACGCTCGATAGTTTGTAAGAGTGAGCAAGTTATTAGATTACAATACAATAAGATACAGTTAAGGTAAATCTCATATTATTATAAAAATACATAAAATATTTTTAGAAGAGAATTATTTTAAATACTTTTAAGTGTTAGTTTCTGTTGCTGTATTAGCCTACATTATGGGACACCTGTTTGATGCCAATAAATTATAAAGAACAATGGTTGCCACTAGCAAACACCTTTTTCGGAAATTCTTTTGAAATGTTTAGAAATACTTAGACACAATCAAGAGCTTTGTTTTGGTTCCTTTCTTGTATATTGATTATTTGGTTGGTTCCCTGGCCTTTGTGTCGTATATGTACATGTATATGGATAGTCAAAAGGCCGCCAAGCCTTCAGTTGGCCACTCGGTCTGATTTTGGGCTGCGGCCTCAAGGGGATTTTGTAGCTGAAATTCACGAAACCAAAAATTAGGGCTGTCCCCCAGCTCCGTCACACTGACCCGATTTTGGGTTTTCGACAGCCGGAGCTTTAACTTTAATGGCAATTAAGGTCCTGGGAGGGGAACCCGCTATTAGTGATTACGGAATGTTTGGGCCCACTTCGAATTCAGTTAGCGAAGGTGCGTGCGATACAAGTTTCCGCTGCAATCGGAAAACTTTCTCTGCATTTCATGAATACAAACAAGCCTGGGACAGATGAAGATACGTAGACAGTAAGGAACTAATCCCCCCACGGATACGTCTCCTTCAACTGGCTTGGAAATTTCGAAATGCTTCCCATACATGTCGATTCCGGATCCCAAGATTAGTTGTTCATCAGGCATTCTTTTCTTGGTAACTCTATAAGTCGTAGGAATTTTAGTTTGTGGTACAGTTTAATTTATTCTTTAATTTTATAAGGAAAAATAAACCAAATACTAAAAGGCGATTCAGCTAAGTTGTTTAGGGAAACACTTAACATTTAAATAAAATATGCTTGTCTTGTTACAATCCTGAGTGTAACAATGTTTGCTACACTTTACTTTGTTACTTCTTTTACCCATCATCACCATTGAAATAGTATTTGCATTGTCCCTCGATATTGAAATCCACAAGACACGTTCAAATACAGCCTTCAGATAAAAGTGCAGGGAGGCAAGTACAAAGCACTCGTGGATTTCCGAAAGGTCGCGTGTCCTCGGGGCTGTTCTTATTGGCATCCTCATCCGGTTCCGCGCACTGTTTTGCATATTCAGTACTAATGGCCGGTTGGCCGCACGCCACTCTCAACTGAATGGCTTGGATGGTCAGGTGGGAGCTCCTTCGTGCTGGCATGCCATTTAAAAACATCCCATAAACATTTTGCTCAGTCCAGTTTTTAAAAGACTGCATGCGAAGTTTTAGCAAACATAACATCAAAGTTCAAAAGTGGCTAACTTAATTAATGTAATGTGTAGCACAATTATAGAATGTCCAAGGCCCTTGCCATTTGGTGCAGTAAAATGTTCCGGGGCAGGAACACCATTTTAAAAATTACATTCTTATGTTGTTCCCAAAAAACTCTCAATTGTATGGTTATCTCTTTCAGGAATGAATTATATGAATTTCGGATTTAATAACAAGATATGGCCTTAAAGCAGCCAATACTATGACCTATGCATGGCACTTTCATCACGCATACGTCTCTGGTGGATACCTATGTCTCCGAGAGACACCAAGAGTCTCACCTGACAGTCCCTACGCTTATTAAGCCAATTAGTGCAAGTGAATCCCTTTTGGTGTTAGAAAATACTAATTAAAAACATTATTTTGTATCGTTGTTCACCTGTACGGGCGGTTTTATACATATTTTAAACTTTTTAAGGGCAAAAATATAAAAGTAAAATATTTAAACATTTATGGCAAGGTTGCGGGGGAAATAAATAATATTTTAAGCTTCTGTTTGTAAGTTTTTTAAACTATTTTTTAAATAATATGATAGTGAAAAACGACAATTGGTTTAAGCGTTTATTTTGAATTTAAATTAGTATTCCTAACAGATATGCATGAACATTTTAAAAATCAATTCGCTTGTTTTTATCAAGATATGTCTAAGTTGTTTAAAGCAACAGCGTCACTTTGTCTTTAAAAAACTACAACTTTTAATTAAATTATAAACTTAAAGTCAAAAATTGTTTTAATTTATTCTAAGTGAAGGTCGTTTAAACCCAGCGATGAGTTTGGATCTTCCTCCAGGAAGTTCTCAAAATCAATGATTATTTTTTTTTGCTGGGGAAGGTGTCGTTTGTAGGCCACGCCCACTGCATCCAACATCCGCTTGGAAGCCCGGTATGTGGGTTTTTCTGCATACTTGTCGGATAAATAGAGAACCTGAGAGATCCCCACCTGCAAAACGGCATTAAAAAATCATAAGAAATTTAAAAAGATTCTCTGCTTTGGAAAGCGTGAGTCGCAAGCGTAATTCCCATTAAATTGCCAAATCGAACAATTAGGATTTTTAAAATCGAATGGACTTTAAGTTAAAAATCGATTGGATTCTGTTGCTACCAGATTTAAAAAAAAGATGTAACAAATTTGTCAAAATAATATAAGAACTTCCTGGTTACCCAAACAAACCAAAGTTTATCTGTTAATAACATTAATAAATAATCTGCCTAACATAAAATATAGAAAGAGTAGCTTAATTTACAAGATATGTATATCTTGCCTGTATGATGAGTTTGGCGCATTCGTTGCAGGGAAACAGTGTGGTATAAAGTCGCGTTCCAGTCAATCTCATTCCGTTGCTGTTGAGGATCGCATTAGCCTCTGCATGCACCACGTACATCTTCTTGTCCTCCAGTGGGTTGAAGTCCTGTGTGCCCTTCTGGGCCTTTGACCACGGAAACTCGTCGTCGCTGCAGTTTCGAGGGAATCCATTATAGCCAATGGCCACTATCCGATTTTGTGAGTCAACGATGCAGGCACCCACTTGGGTCACGGGATCCTTGCTTCGTTTTGCGGATAGCAAGGAAGTGGCCATAAAGTAGTCATCCCAGTGCAGGTAGTCCCTTCGCTTGTGGTTCTCAGGTGACTCAGTCTTTTGGGTATTTACATCTTGAGCGGACTTTTGTTCTGACATTTTTCTAGAATTAAGAAAGAAAATTTTATAAGAGTTGTAGTACTTAAGCAACAAGGGCGAAAAAACTATTCATTTCAGGAATATTTTATTGACATAAAACTTCTTTTCTATATTGTCATTACTTATTTCATTCATAAGTATACATAAATAAATCTCGAGAACTCAGCAATCAAAAACTTTATTCTTTCCGTTTTATTTTTTATTCTCATAATCTATTCAATGATTGTAATACATATACATAACTTCCATTGACTTTTCCAACATAAATGTATGATTAAGATATTATATGTGTTAGGGCAGTTTCTTTAGCGATAAGGCCAATAAAGGCATTAAATAGAACTGGTTTTTATAATACACTTTAAAATGTAATAATTATATTTATTAACATGAAAACCAGAAACCTAAATGCTGTCTATTAGCCCAGATTAATTTATAAAACAAAAGAACAATCTCAGTTAGTTGTCGTATCTTCATTTTTATTTTTCATTTGTTCTTTTTCCTAACTTTTTCATGTCCAGTTTTTTTCTTTGTATTTTGTGTGATGGGTATTTGATAGTCAAGGAAAGCGGGACAACTGTGTGCACATTTTTTATTGCATTAATTAGACAAAACGATGATCGCAGCTATGTTTCAGCAGCAATAATAATATTTTATGTATCATAAATTGGAATATACAGCGAATACTTTCAATAATAATTTTCATATTCAACTCAATGTGTGGTTAGGCGAGTGCGTAATTAAAACTACCTAGGTGCTCTTCTGCACCTGGATGGGATTCTGCTTGAGGTGCAGGTAGATGGATCGCATGCGGGAGACGTCCTTGCCCGCCTTGTTCACCTTGGGATTGAAGTCGCAGAGCTTAGCTATGCGCTCCCACTCGGTGCCCGGTTCGATGGACCCGTTCTCCAGGGTGGCCGCCTGCTTTTCGGCATTGCGGGACGCCAGCTTGGTCTTCGATATGGACTCGCCAATCTGGCGCAGCCAGTCGTCTAGCTCCTTCTTGGACTGCTGTCGCAGCTCCTCCTTTTTCCGCTCCTCCTCGATGTCCTTCTCCTCAAGTCGTTGTTTCTGCTCCTCGCGCCATTTGCGTATCTTTTCGGGCTCTTCCCGGGAGGGGGGAGGACCGGATATGCCAACGGGTTCATTGGACTCGCCACCAATGACCTCAAAGCTGCCTGTGGAGGACTCCAGGCCGCCGGTGCCGCCTGCTGAGAGAAGATCGCCATCGGAAGTGGTGGCGCCTCCTCCACCCAGGAGCTCTCCCAAACCATCGTCTGTGGAAGGGGCAGCAGCAGCAGCTGGAACGGATCCCCCCGTAATCTCCGCCTCCAAATCACCGAGAGCCGACTGTTCGCGCGCCAGGAACTCGGCCGCCGGATCCACCTCCTCCTTGGCTGCGAAATCGTCTCCAAAGTCCATGGCGATGTGCTCTCTGGAAATGTTGTGATTGCAATTTAGTGGGCGTCTCACCCAGATTTACACGTACGCAGAGGAGCAGCCAGCTGCGGGCGATTTTCCAACTGGCTCCTCGGAACCTGGACACTACGCACCTCTCCTTTGATTCGGTTAGGCCTGAATGAAGATCGGTGTGGGCGGATGACTAACCGGAAATTCGGGCAAATCTGTTTTTTCAGTTTTCTTTTAGCAATGAATACGTAAAATGACTGTCATTAGTACGTGAAGTGAACCAACAATAAAACAGCAGGTTATCGAACTGGTTCCGCGAGACCAGTGCTGGGCAATGTTTCACTATCGCAAGGCGATTGGTTTCCATTTGTTTATACAAAAACCTTAAATTATAATTTTTAAAATTTATGTTTCTTAAATCTGGAAATGCATTGTAAAGAGGTGACAAAATTCTAACTTTTCAAAGGAAATACTGCTTTAACAGCATAATTGTATTTTCTTTCTTGTCCTGAGCATACACGATTTTAAGTAAATCGAAAACCTTGGAGAAAAACAGATGATAATTGCTCTTTTGTAAATTACCGGCTAATGATTTTTATTTAAGTTTTGTATGATATGTTAATTTTATGTTAATACTTAAGGTAATAGTCAAATTGAGCACCGGGGTTTTTAATCACAGTGTTGGACAATATGTTTTTGGGGGTGTTTTTTTTATTTTCTACTTAAATGACGGTAAATTAAACTTAAATTAGCTAAAGTCATATAATTATCTTACAAATAGAAAAATTTAATCGGTCTCTTTAAATTCCTCAAATTGCTCACTGGGTGTTTAAAATCAACTAGTTCCACCTGAACAGTGTTAGATAGCGCGCGAGTGGAGTGCATACAGCTTGGAGCCGAGTAGTGATTAATTTGTTTATACTAAATCAAATGTGCCTTAATCAATGCTCATAAAATGTAAATAAAAAGCAGAGTAACTATTTAATGGTAAACAATAGCCGAAACAACAAAGGACTTGATAAATAGGGTATTATACAACACTTGCGACTATGGCGCAGCACAGCACATGTGAATTCAATTAGGTGTCAAGCTTACAGTTGAGAATTGTCCAAAATATGCCAACAAATTGGGAAGAACACTAACCTGTGCGACAAAAAACACGAAAATCACTATACTTTTCAAACAATAACGGAGACAAAATGCAACGACGACGGCAATACAAACACAAACACTCGCCGCGCGAACTAGTGAACCGGTGAACTAGTTCGTCCTGGCATCATTCACCTGAGCCAGTAGTTCGTTTTTCACTGGGCAGCAGAGCGGCCATTTTGGAGATTGTTTCATCCACAAAAAAGTTATGCACCGAATCTAAAAAAAACGTAACGCTGCGCCCGAAATTAAACATAAATTCCGCTCGTGCTATTTGGAGCGTTGTGCAGTCCGATGTGAAGATAATGCTGGGCCCGAGCAGACCGACAGTTCCGATTCTATAACGTCTAAAAAGTTAGTGACTATCTTCCAACACGCACGCATGTACGCCCGTGTGTGTGAGTATGTGTTTGTGTGCATGGATACATATATGTACAAGCGGAAAATACGGGAAAAAATCCTATTCCTAGCCAGAAAAACATTACCAAAAACAGCATAAAACCCTGCCAATGTGATGGCCTCGCAAATTGTAAAGTAAAAGTGAGCACCAATTCAACATTATCGCCGGATCGTGGAAAAATGCGGGCGCATTTGCAGGAGAGCGCCAAGACAAAAAATACAGACGCCAAATTTTTTGAAGGGGGAACCAAGCGCATCGTGGCCAAAAGGGATACAAAAAAAAAGTAGGGGGAAACAATGAGTGCAAAAAAGTATGGAAACACACTCCCCAGTTCCAGTTTTCAGCTTCTCAATCGCAATCTTTTGCAAAGATATTAGTTTTTCATAACATAAACATTAGGGTAAACAAATACGGCTAATGAAATATCCATATTAAGATTTCTAATTAAAATTTAAAAAATTTTTCAACTTTACAAAGTAATTGAGCTTTTAATTATTACTATTACTATTGGCGCCATTTCTCCAGTAATTTACTAAAGAAAACTAATCAATTTGTAAAGTAAATGTTATTTTAATTTAATTTATTTATTATTCATCACAATTGGCGCGAACAGTAGACCATATAACTGAGAATTTTAACATTTTCATATATTACAAAATTAGTTTTAATATTTGTAAAAATCTTGATAGGAGTTTCTTTTTGGTATATGTTGTGTTGTCAAATACAACCATTTAAGAAAATGTAAAATAATGTTTTATTTTGAAAGATGATAAAAAGAACAAGTTCCTTGTAAGATTTTGGGACAAACATGGTAGAGATAGTTTTAATTATCTATATATCATCCTGGATCTATAACTATTCTCTAAATCTATCGTTTTACTCAATTATTCAAAACCCACTAACAGTCTCATATTTATTTCAGTTACCAGCCAACAGCAGTAGAAGAGTCCAAGCCAACCATGGATCCCAACTCCAGTCCCTGGTCGTACGCCTACAACCGCATAGTGCCCGCCAGCGCCGGCAGCTCTGGAGGAACAGCAGAGGACTTCCAGCATCCGCACCTGGCCACCATCACAGCCGCCAGCATCGCCAGCTTCAATGCGGCAGCCGCCAGTGGTGGCAGCTTTGTGCCTCCGTCGCCGATTGGCAGCTACAACCCAGTATTCCAGCAGATATACCACCATGCGGCGGCGGCCAGTGTTCAGCCGAAACCCGCCCACTATGCCTCGTCGGCGGTCAGCACGCCACATCGCCAGCTGCAGCTGCCCAGCTCGTTGGACAAGCAGCTTAGCTCGTTCCAGAACCAGGCGGCTGTGTCGGCGGCAGCAGCCGCTGTGGTTAACAATGTGGCCTCGAATTACTACGGGGAGAATTCCTCGTCGAGTGGAGCCTCGCCTTCGCCCACAACGGTGGCGCTGACGTCGACGTCGCTGACCTGGAACACGCCGAACATGATATCGAACACCTTCCTGGCCATGCAGCAGCAACAGCAACAACAGCAGGCGCAGCAGCAGCAGCAACAGGCCCAACAGCAACAGCAGCAGGCGCAGCAGCAACAGCTCAACCTGGTGGCCGACAAAGTGGTGAGTAGGATTCTTTTGTTTTTCGTTCGGCTTGCAGATCACAACTTACTCTCAGAAAAACCCGCTTCTGGGGAAGCACACAAACACACGCTCATTAAAACCCCCGCAGGTTCTATCGCATTTCTCGCATACTAACATAACATCCCCCCCTAATCAAACCATCAAAGCTTAGACTAAGGTCTAGCCTCTCTCTATGTCGAATCAAACCCAAACCAAACAATTTCCGATTCCGATTCAATCTATGTACGGTGCGCTGTAGCAGATTAAGCAGGAAAAGCAATTAAAAGCCTACAACGACTCGATTTACCTGATCCAACTGCAACAACAACAGCAGCAGCAGCAGCAACAACAGCAGGCAGCGCAGCAACAACAGCAGCAGCTCCAGCAGCAACTGCAACAGGAGATCGCCGAGGCGGAAACGGAGCCGGACACCTATTACATGATCGATGGCCGGAAGGTCAAGGTGACGCGCAAGGATGGCCAGCCGTTCCGAGCGACAATAGTTGAGCAGCAGGATGGCAGTCCGGTGCCGCTGGCAGTGCCAGTTCCGGCGGGATCCTATCCGGCGCAATATGCGAGCCCGGCGTTGAGCTCCGCAGATGGATCGCCCATCACGAATTTACATGCCGTGGACGTGGTCAGCACACCGCAGGCCCAGGTGATCGTCTACAAGACGGCGTCCCCGGTACAAAGGCGGTCGGAGGCAGGCGCTGGATCGTCTGCGACTGCCACGCCCACCACTGTGGCCTATTCATCTGTGATACAAAGCACCCTGCAGCAGCAGCAACAACACCAGCAGAACCTTTGTTGGACAAAGCTGGAGGACGATGGAGCGGGGCAGGAGGATATAAAGAACGTGCTGCAGCTGCAGGTGAAGCAGGAGCAGCGCCAGCTGGACTTTGCCAACGAGGCATCGACAGTAGATGTCAGCGGTGGTGGCGAAAATCTAGTGTTCAACCTGCCGCCTGGGCTGGAGATTAAGCAAACCTTCTATCCCGCGGGCGTGGTCGATGGGGAGCAACTGCAGCTGCAGGAGCACAACCAGAACCAGACCCAATCCCAGTCCTCCGGGCGGCGCCAGCACGTGGTGGCCAACATGATCATGTCGCCGGCGGCGGGCAACTTAGCGTCACAGATTCAAGTAGTGCCAAAGGTTTGTATGTCATTGTTTTATTTCTGTTCCTATTTGTTTAATTTGTTTGTGTTCTGCCTTTATTTTGGTTTATTGGCCTATTCGTTCTGTTTTCCTAAACTCTCTGCCGAGCCAAATAGACTAGTTTTAAAGATATTTTTTGAGTCTATTATCTAAAACATTTGTGTAGAGCATTTTTAATTTTCTACAAGTAAAAGTAAATCTACTGATACCCTTATTTTTAATAAAATTGGTGTAATTGTCTCTTTATTGCTCATGCCAAGCTAAAAATTGAAAAACATTTTATCTTACACAATACTTTCATCAAAATGATACTGTTAAAATAGAAAGGCAATTAAGATAAGCTGTTTCCTTTTTTGTTAACAAAAATTAATAACACTATTTAATAGAATTTAATTAGTTTTTTTTTATATATTACGATCCTTTTTTTAACCCCTTCTAATGTAGTCTCATAATATGCATGTCTTTACGATCATTCCTTAAGTTATGGTGAAAGCTTTTTTATTTTGGCCTTTTGTTATATGCTTTATTGGAATTATTCTGTTCAATCTAACAAAAACTGCTTCAAATACAGCTAACTAATTCTCTAATTTAAAGTCCTGTGGCCACTTTGAACTGTGACGTTATGTTGTAATGGTATGATCCAATTTTTAATGAGGGTAAACCCAACCGCGATTGTCGCTCGCAGCCCCTTTGTTAAGCCCCCATAAAATGCTGTGGAAGCAGCTCGTTATTTACCAGCCAGTGTATACATGTCTACCAACCGTTTCTAGTGTCCCAATGTCCAAGCTAATGATAGTGTGCTGTTCGCTTTTTATATTGCCTGATGCCGAGTGTTCTAATCGACTTTCTTTCGACACTTGCTTGCAGGAGGAGGTGAAGCCGCCGCCGAAGCCAGCGAAGACTCCGCGCAAGCGCCAACCGAAGAAAACGCTCATCCCCAGCAGCAGCGACTACGGCAATGTGCGCAGTCCCCAGGAGCCACAGCATCACCAGTTGCAGCAGCAACAGCAACAACAGCAGCAGCACAATCAGCAGCAGCAGCAGCAGAACACGTACTACGACTTCAATAGCAAGTGGAACACTCCGCTCAAGACGGAAAACAATGCGGCGTCCGTATCGCCGGCGGCCACTATCAACATACCCACATATCCGCAGCAGAGCCAACAGCAGCAACACCAGCAGCAGCAAGCGCAACAGCAACAACAGCAGCACTTGCCGCAGCCGGCCCACCTGCAGTCCTCGCAGGCCCAGTCGCACTTGACCCAGTTGGCGCAATACTATCCAGCCTTCCCCCAGCCTATTGCCTCCCAGTACACGGCCTGCATGCAGCAGCAGCAACAGCAGCAGCAGCAACAACAGCAGCAGCAACAGCAGGCGGCCTACACGCAGCAGCAGCACCAACAGGCCTACACGCAGCAGCAGCAGCAACAGGCGCAGCAGCAACGCCAGGAGAAGAACGAGGCCACACAACAGCAGGAGGAAGAGGCGACGGCGGCCGCAGCGGCGGCGGCAGCAGCAGCGGCCAGCAACAAGGTCATCGTGCCGAACATCGAGGAGGAGCTGGACTTTCTGGCCGACGCCACAGCTGCACCGAAGCAAGGATACTCCAACTCACTGTCCAGCAACGGGCGCGGCACCAACTCCTCCACGAATAACACCAACTTTGGCATACGTAATCCGAACAAGACTCCATCTCCGGAGCCATCGAACTGCCCGCCTAATTCGCATGCTGCCAATAATGGGCATGGCCATTCAGCGGCCACGCCCGCGACGCCTTCGACCAGTGGAGCCAGTGCAGCCACGACGTACAGTCCAGCTGCTCCCAAGCCCGTCAGCGTGGGCACGCAGATTGGGGAGAAGAAGACTCAGTTCATGGACAGCTATTTAAAGTTTCTGCAGGGCGAGCGGGACGACGATCCGCCACCGGTGGTGAAGCCATCGCGGAAATTAAATTACCCACGAGCTCCGTACAAGCGGAAAGGCAAAGGTTCTGGGAGCGGTGGCGACGAACCCACCACATCGCAGGCCACACAGTCGCCGGGGGATGTCGGCCAGGCGGTGGATGGACTCGCAGGACTCGTGGGCGATGATGGGCATCGCATCAAAATACTCTCGCAGACGCAAATACTCCCCAAGAAGCGTCCGCACGCCCAAATGGTGGCTGCTGCAGCCGCGGCGGAATCCGCACCTTCGTCGTCGGTGATCCAGCAGCCCGGGGATCAAACCTCCTTCCGGCCATACGCCCAGCAGCAACAGCAGGCGCAACAGCAACAGCAGCAACAATCGATGAGCGGTCAGCACTTTGTGCAGCAGCATTGCGCCCAACTGACAGCTGGAGCGGGTCAAGGTATGTTACTTGACCAACAGCATAGTACCAATAAGCACTCCACTATCGCTACTTCCACGCCATGCAACAACTACAACAACAACAACAATCACCACCACACGCCAGCCAGCGCGAATGCAACAGCGAATTCGAATTCAACAACGCCGACGCCAGCACCAGCGCCGAATCCTCATCACTTTATAAACCTGCTGTGGCCTTGGCAGCACTAGCAGCCGCCAGTAGCAGCAGCACCACCCACCCACGCAGCACCACCACCACCCACACCACACGGACAGACAGCCAGACAGACTAGCGACTACTAGACCCTTGGACGGTGTGTATATGTAAAAAACAACCATAATGACATCAAAAAAACAAAAGGAAAACGCTAACTTTTAAATTGTTAAAAGAGCAAACATAAAAAAAAACAAAACAAACAAAAGGAGAATCCCATGAACAAAAGTATGAAGTATTTTTGAGATGAAATCGAGAAGAACAAATATTATTAATTTTCAAAAACCCAAATAAACCGTGTATTTTTATTATTTGTACTTGTAAGACGGAACAGAATCCGGTGCCGATTCCGATCGAGGTGCTGGTGCTGGTGTTCCATGGCCGTGGGAAATGGTGTTGCTGGTGTATTGATTAGTTGTTGTTGATGTTGATGTCGTTGTTGTGGATCTCGTCCCGTTCCGTTCGTGTAGCCCGGGGCTTCCCCATGTCCAGTTCAATGTTGCTAACCCACTTTTGTGCTCTCCACAGACCCCTTGAGTGTGCCGCCGCGTCGGGAGCAATGCTCCCGCAAGGCCAAGCAGAGCAGCATGCACGCCATGCTCATGAATTCCAGTGCCGTCGCCGGCGACACTGGAGTCGTCGGCGAGCCGGAGGAGTTTACCGACTCGGATACGGATCCCGTGTGGACTCCGCAGGAGGAAGACGTAAGTGTTTCGCCTCCGGCGTCGTAACCACTGTCTCAAAAACCTCCTTTCCCCTACTCACACGCAGAGCGATGACGGCAAGGGCTATGGGAAGCGCAAGCTAGCTCGTCGGTCAAAGGGCACACCCCGCAAGAACACTTACGACCATCCCTCTGATCTGCAACAACCACATCAACAGCAACAACATCACCAGCAACTGCAGCAGATGCAGGTTAGCCAGCAACACCATCAGCAGCAACAACAACAGCAGCAGCAGCAACAGGTGCAACAACTGGCCAGTGGCGGCGAGTCTGGTTATAATTCGCAGCAGAACATGTCCGGAGTAGCGGATGTGGGATATGCCAGTGCATCATCGGGCACAGCTGCCAACTCGGAGAACTTTAAAGTAGGTCAAAGTATTGAGTTATATGTTTACAGTGGTTTTTATTTTCGATTTTCTGAAATTATGGTTAACGCCTAATTGAAATTAGTAAATTTGGGATAGCATTTTGTTTACTTCTGAAAAGAGATATTATGCTAAATGCTTTGAACAAATTTTAAAACTCGTTGCTAACATTTCAGACGGGCGACTTTATAGTACTACGATCGGATCTTGTGAACGACTGGCCCACCATTTGGCAGGTGGACTCAAAGTGCATTTTGCAGAAGTACGAGCCCTTCCGCCAAAACGGAAAAACCTTCTATCGTAACATGTCAAAGGTGGGTTTAATGACAATCCACTAAAATTATACCTTAATAATAAAATCAATTGGATTTCAGTATGCCTCTTGGAATCTCGAAACGAAGAAACTCTACCTCAAAGCACCGGTGCGCATTCAGCTGCATTCCCACACCGAGACAATTGTCGAGTTCATGCGATCTGAGCTGCTGGCCGATGATACCGAGCAGTTTATTGAGAAGATCATGGAGGACTATCTGTCGTATAGGGACAATTTTGAGATCTATATTCAGACTATGATCTCGCAAGCCCTCGATCCAAGCTTCTTCTCGGAAATAACGCGGGAGAAGGGTAAAGCTGTTTTATATTCCCAAAAACGGTTTATATAGAACATATATTTCTTTTCAGACGACTACTTTTTGGGCAGCGTGCGGGTGGTGGACAACATCATGGAAAATTGCAAGCGCAAGCTGCTGGCCATCACTCCTTGGACGCGGAGTACAATCTCCTCCATTGAGACCTGGCCCAAGTGCCATGTGTTCTCCGAGTGGGAACAAAACAATCTAACCCAAAAGAATTGCGCCGGTTGCCACCAACCAGGCATCGCTGTGCGTTTCCTACTCTTCGGAGAACCATATAATCCAAACACCATGCAGACCATACCCGTGGATCCGCGTATAGTTTATGAGAAGGTAAATTAGCTAACTTTATAAACAAAAAGAAACTACATTTTAAAACTATCTCAAAAGCAGATAGATTTATAAGAAAACATGTAATAATCGTTTGTATCTCTTTCTCCAGGACATTGTCTTGTGCCGCATTTGTGCCGCTCGTGCAGATCTCTTCCACAAGATAGCACACGAAAAGTACAATCTGTTTATCAACTGCTCGCAACGGGTGACGGAGCAGCAGCAACAGTTCCCTGGCAAGACGTCAACAGAAATATTGAACGATCTGCTGGCCGAGCACAATTGGATCGATGAGGTAGAGCTTGAAATGATATACTCGAATGTCTGAGATTTAAAAAAACATAAATTACAGCTCTTCCGCAATATGCGCAACTGTTGGGCCGAGGTGGAGAGTCTGGAGCGGCAGAAGCGTTTCCGAGAGGTCATGCAGTAAAAGCCATTATCATCGGGAGCCATTAATCAAGGAAGACTCCTGATCGCGTATCCAAGTGCTGGACATTAGGACATAACACGCCAAGCCCACGTATTGCTGCAATAAACTCAATGAGTTGTTATTTTATTATACACCAGATGACACGCAAAAGCTTAGTTTTAGTGCAAGACACATATTGTACTATGTAGGCCTTAAGATTAAGATAAAGCCTATTTATGGACTATGCATAGTACATGCCATGTAAATAGCTATACATATAGCTATAGCCGCGCATTATATCATATATATGGAATATGAAGTACTAAATAACAGAGTAGTACCACACTCATTAGTTTGAAAAAGTAATATTTCTATGTGTTGAAATAGCTTAAACATTCTTTTTGCAAAAGTTCAAATTAAGATTTATTTGGTAGGATCTTTTAATAGGATCATTCTCCCCAAAATCCCGCAAACAATCAAATTGTGTTTCGCTACCAATGTAGCCAGGGAACATTAATCATCACTATATTTAAGAGTTGTACATATTTAGTTTTAGCCTTAGTTACACAAATCCAATTGCAAACATTTAAGTTAACATCCTTTGTTTTGCGAGTTTTATTTAAGTTGTGAATTTTTAGAATCATAGAGTTCCCTGAATAAATATGGAAAAAAATCACATATACTGGCAAAATATTTACATCCAAGTCTTCTATGGCCATTTTGGTTTTGTAGCTTATAATACTGTAGCACTTGGTTAGGAGTCCATTTGAAATAGAGGCTCTGTCATGTTGTATTTGATTAGATCCTTCACGATGCCGATGATTCGACGCTTGAAAATTGGCAAAGTGCGCGCGTTGAGCATTTCGTATTCCTCGATCAGCTCCTTGTATTTGGGTTCATCGGACGAAGTCGAAAGATCCTGGATGGCTTCGGAAACGGTATCGATATCAATTACCTCACTGGCATTGGAAATAAAAAAGGGTAGGGAGAATGCACCCATGATTAAGCCGTAGACACCGTAAAGTTGCAATTGTCGGTTGAAAACACTCCGTGGATATATCTCCTCCAAGCGGAGGTCACAAGAAGTCAATTTCTGGTCCAGGGTGTCGTAGTAAGCATCCATAAAGGTGGAAAAGTGTTCATCCCGCAGTGGTTTTTCCGTACACGCATAAAGATAGTGGACAATATCGAGTACCGGCGGAGCAAAGCGTGACATCTGGAAGTCGATGAGTTTGGCCTCTACGGGTTGATCAAAATTAGGCTGGGGATAAAAAGAACCAGTTAATTCGATTAAAATGAAAATATCGTTGAAAAATGCATTATTTTAAAATTAATTAATTTAGAAACCATATTCTGCATCAGGATCTTAAGAAAAAATTAAGCGCTTGCTTAAAGCCTCAATGATCTGTCCCAAATTTCGAGAGATCGCAAAATTATAAACATAAGTGAAAATATTTACCTCATGTCTGTAGAGAATATTGTTATTCCAGAAGTCTCCATGACAGATAACAGAATGTGGTGCCGCTGATTTTCCGTCCACACAATAAAGAGCCAAGGATTTTAGGTGTTTTTCACAGCGTTCCAGGACCTCCTTGAGAGCAGCCACTTGGTCGCCATCGGATTCGTCAAGAATATTTCTCGCCTTTCGCAACTGTGCCTTTCCAAACTCAATGGTGACCTCCTCAATGTTTGGAGTGAATAGGTTATCCTTCTTTACGAACTCCACTGACTTCTTGAACTTTGCAGGATTTTGTTTCTGCAGGATAAATGAGCACGCATGTAGCTCCGCTAAAGCTTTCAGGGAGCAGATAACGATGTCGTAGGTGGGCATAATGCTACGGGAATTTGGCCGGAAACCACTTCCAGATAGATCCTCGAAAATCAAGAATTCATCGGGAGCCTTTAGACCATTGGCCTGCAAAGCTGGTGCTACGGTAAACATGCTCCGATCTGGTGATAGCTCCCGGAAAATGGGGAATACCTCCTGGTACATGAAGACCTCCCGGGCGTAGTAGTCCACCACATGCATGTGGGATCTTCGGGCCTCGTTCTTCGGCGCCATTTTGACCACAACGGTGGCAGCTTCGGGAATCGTGGGCCAACTCACTCGAAGGACCTGTCCGTAGGCATTCTCCCCAACTCCGGCTATCGGTTGCGAGACCATGGGAATATTTTCGCGATGGTAGAGCTCCAATAGTGCGCTCGTCACGGCGCTCGAAAGCTCGCTCTCGCTCATTTTTTCGGACCTGGCTATGAAGTTTCGTCGATGAATCTATCTTTCCAACTGATTCATTGCAGCGGCTGTTCTCGCTTTTATAGTTTGTCGACGGGAAAGCTCCCCGTTAGTTGCGTGCATTGTGGGTGGTGATGATGATAGAGACCACGTGACCTAGTCATAAGGGGAATCCTTCCTGTTTTAAACTAACGATCTTTTTCGAATTATAAATGTGAACTTATAGGTCAATGAACTTCAATTTGTTATGCCAATTTAGTCTAAAAAGTTATCTTACCAACATCAATATATATTAGTCATGTACACAGTTATTAGGACTAATGTAAAATTAAGATTAATGTCTATATGATATATATTTTTATGAGAAATAATAAAATATTTATTTAAAAAATATAAAAAGATTTAGATCCTTAAATCCTTGTTAAGATTTGACCATTACCAATCATATCCAAATTACGATTAGTTAATACTCTTAAAGGGAAATTCTTTTTAACGTCTTTTCCCCAAAAGGATTGATTTCTTTTAAATACGTTTATAACCCAAATATAATTTAATAATATAAAAATAATTATTTAAATAAGTTTCTTCTATGCCGCATAAACTAAACTAAAACTAAAGAGTTACAGATATGGTGCTCCAGAAATAGGATTTTTAGTTGCGCAGTATGGCAATATTAATATTTACTTAATATACATAAGTGTAGTCATTTATTTATAAAACCCCAATAATGCCCTCAACCCAGAAGGCTTGCACTAAATAATGAAACCTATTGACAGAAACGATAGTGCACTTCCTATTGTGTTATATTTTAGAATACAACGTCAGTCGATTTGAGTAGTTTCGGTCGCTGACCTCACTCAAGGCCACTTCTAATGCAAACACACATTTACGATGGACATTCTCGTATGTGCAGGCTAGCGTAGTAGTTAAAAAAGCATTCGATTGAGGAAAAATAATCAACTTTAGCTTTTGCCATACCATACCAATTTCTGAAGCTTCTTGGGTATTACCTGCGATTCTAACATATCGGCCATTGAACTTGACAAAGTGTATGCACGGCGCCAAAAAAGCTCGCAAATAGTATAGTACGATACCCACTTCGGATCTAACCCGTTCTAATGATATTACGTGCACACCTCCGACCAATGATCGGTTTTGGCTGGGTGCATTTCGGATCGAGCTTTTCTCCCGAGGCGCGCCAATTTGTGTAAGATAGGAGGCAGAGCTTTTGATGGTTAAGGTTTAGCTTTCATTGGCATTGAAAGCAAGCTGCGTAGTGGAGGTCGTTGAACCGACACCATTTCGAAAGAAACATTGCCCAACTGCCCGAGAGACCCAAAACATTATAGTTTTCGCTTTCTGATACCCACTCATCGGGAGGTATGATAGTTTTCGGACCAACTTCCGCTTATCATAAGACAAGTTAATCAAAAATGTTATATTGAAAGGTATTTTAAATACCCTCTCTTATCAATAAATGGAAATGTTAGTTTAAGCATTACTTTTAATACTTCAGTTTCCACTGTAAAAATTTTAACTCATTAAAGCAGATATATTTTAGAGTCGCATATTTCTTCTTATATATTTTCTTTAATAACAATAAAATAGTTGCTTGTGTCGAAACACACTTTCTCCTTAGGAGGCTTATCTAATTTTACAGTTTCGGAAAAAATTTAAAAGAGTAATTAAATGCCATTCCTTAAATCTAGCAGTTATAAAAAGGTCCACTTACTTCACGAAAGTTTTGCTAAGAAGTAGGTCTATAATCGGGGACCAAAAATGTGAGGTTTTTTAAGTATAAAAAGGAATTTAATGAAGTTAAATAAAATCTGACTAATAAAGAAATGTATTAGGTTGAAATAATAAAGTAAGGATAAGTAAGTGGGTATTTTGGCCCCTACAAATAAATAGTTCTTCTAATACATTATTACTATAACTATTTATAATACGCTTGCCAATTACAATTACAAAATGTATTCTATAATTTAAATTATGAAAGATTGATTTTAAACGTATTAACTGGTTATTCAATTATTGAAAAGAAACACTCGCAATTAGACGGGTAGCAGACTCATCTATCAAAACAAGTTGAACCAGTTATGATAGATAATTGCATTCGTTGCTCAATTAATAACGCCCAAAGGGAGCTTGGAACTGAAAAAAAAACACTGAGAAAGTTTTGCTATGTTCGGTGTTATTCCATATTTTTCTCTTAAAATAAAGGTAATAAAATAATATGTTGAATGGTAACTAAAGAAGTCCACGTTTAGTGGAATAGTCTTAGGTATTTACATAGATCTAGCATAGTTCTAAACAGAGAGCCCCAGTTGTATTATACAAAAACTAAACGCTTTAGGGGAAAGGGGCTCAAGTCCATCAAGCTAAATACATAGTTACTGTAGCTCCGCGGAGTCGGCAGTGTTTGAATTTGAGTTCTCCTCGGACTTCTTTGACGAAGGGGAGTCGGAAAGATTGGGCGACAGGTCGCGCAGCTTCACAACATTCCCCACGGACACCAGATTGGCCGCCTCAGCCACCGAGTAACCGATGTCCGGCGGAGTGCCTTCCGGATAGCCCAGATAGTAGTCCGCAATGCGACCAGCCTCGCGCAATCCACTCAAATAGGCTCCATGCACGGTGGCCGGATAATTCCGTATCGTATGCTCGCCGGCGAAAAAGAGGCGTGGCAAACCTTCCGCATCCTTACTGGACGGCGGAATAACCGGCGCCGCCAGCAGATCATAGTCACTGCCCGAAGAACCCACGGAGACGTAGCTGTAGGAGCCACGTGCCCAGGGATCGCTGCGCCAGCGCGTGACCACCGTCTCCTTGGGCTGTGGAACGGAGGTGTTCCCGAAAATGTTTTTGAGCACTGACATGCAGCGCCCTATTATGATGTCGTCGGTGACGCTCTCTACAATATTGGCTGCCATTCCGGCGACCAGGGCAAGCAGCACCGGAGATGAGCTAATGCTCCAAAACAGAAACATTTCTCCTGCAAGAAAAGAAAGAAATAACTGTTTGAAATTCATTGTACATTTTTTAGAAAAAGGTGGTAAGTCCGCTCTTTAGTTTGCGAAATTGAAATAAAATTTATTTAATTTAAATTAAAATCTAAAATCCAATATTTTTCACTAGAGCTTCTTCTGTCAATGATTGAAAAAACCAATGACAAGATGCAAAAGATTAAAATCTAAAATCAAATATTTTTCACTAGAGCTTCTTCTGTCAATGATTGAAAAAACCAATGACAAGATGCAAACGCCTTACCTCTACTGGATGTTGTGCTGCCCACGTGTCCGAAGAGATTCGCGTTGGGATCCCAAAATATGCGGTCGAAGCAGAGCACAACCTTGTTGAGATTCCCGAACCCAAGTCTTCTAATGGCCTGCTGCTTCCAGTCCGGTAACGGCGGATCAAACTTGACCGTGTTGCTTTGCTGCGACTCCTCGTGAGCCACTGCCACTTTCAGAACGCCCAGGGTCAGTGTGCAGACGGCCAGGTCCGCTTTGTACGTCATCTGGGAATTGGAGGTCTTCAAGTTTTCGGCCACTACTTCTACGCCGTTGGTGCCGTACTTTATCTCCTTGACGGCGCTATTGACGCGAATGTCTAGGTTTTCAGTGAGAGCTACAGGCACACATGAATAACCATTCCGCACGGTGGTGTGGTGGCCAATAAACTCGAAGTCATCGTCCTGGTCCCAGTGCTTTAGGGACAGGTTGTTCAGTCGGGTGGCGTTGGCGAACTCCAGATTGGCAAAGTGCCAGTCCAGAATAAGGCGGTCGCGGGAAGAGAGGTACACATCGCTGCAAATAAAGAGATTAAGGTAAATACACACATACATAATAAAGGTATTTTGTAATGCTTACCTAGGTCGGTTTTGCTCCAGTTCGTGAAGCTTGGCTTCCATCTGCTTATCCTCTGCATGAAGCTCGTTGAACACCTTCATAGTTTCCTCCATCTTGAGTTGGATGTTTCGTATGGAGAACTCCTGCCGTCCGTAATTCTGATCGCTCTCCACGCCCTTGGGTTTTCGCTGCTTAACCATAGCGTGGTGCTCACTCCTTAGCGTAGCGATGGTCTGTTTGATGGTCTTCAGGCGACGCCGGTGCTCGATGATCTTTGTTTGGGCGGCTATGATCTCCTGCATGTGCTGCGCTCGCTTGTGCATGACCTGCATCTCCTGCATACTGATAATCCACTCGAGTGCATCGCCCAGCGAAACCGGACAATTGCCGGCGTAGTTAAAGTCAAGGCGGTGGGACAGGTAGCTCGCCGACTCCAGTAGCCGGTTAAATTCTCTTTCTATCACATCATCCTTCTCCTTGGGTACGGGTTTGCCATCTGGGCCGTAGAGTGGACATGTCTGCTGAATGGGCACCAGATCCATGCCAATCTGCTTGCTCAGGATGGTCATTGGATTACCGTAGACGCCGGTCACCACCATGGCTCCCAGATCCGCGATGTAGCTGTTCTTTCGGAAGGTGGCTATGCGTCCGCCTACTCGATCCCGCGCCTCCAAGACGATTACATCCATGCCGAACTGCTGCAACTGGTGGGCCACAGCCAAGCCGGAGATTCCTGCCCCGATTACAATGACTTTACCGAGCTTTTTGGTGGGTATGGGTCGCAGTCGCTTGAAGATGCCAAAGTTGATGAAGCCATGGCGCTCCAGGAACGAGTGCACCCGCCTCACCAAACTGGGTTCGCTGTCAAAGGGCGGCGGCAGGTTCTTCAGGGCGTTCTCGAAGCTCAGCTGGAGTTTCGGATTATCCACCCACATGTGTAGCAGGCTGTTGCGGATATTGAGGAACACGCGATGACCCAGAATGCCCGACCGACTGATGTCCGGGAAGCAGGCCTCCTCGTTGGGCGTCATCTTGTTGAAGGGCAGGCGGGACTGAAAGACGGCACCCTCTTGGCCGGACAAAACGGTGGGCGTCCCCACATCCTTAGAATCTCCGTTCTGCGAGGGTCTTGGATTTCCGGCACTGGGACCGGAAACGGAAGTGGCATTAGCCTCCGATTTCCGGGCTTGATTTTGGCTTTGGCTACGTCGCTCCGTCTGCTGGTTGTTTGATCCCAGGGATCCCGATCCTGACTTATCATTGGAGGTGGCTTCTACACTTCCACTTGGCCTGTTGCTATAGTCCACTTTGGGTCGATTCCGTCTACTGGTGCGCCGTTCATCGCTGGTGGCGGGCGCATCATTTGAGTCCTCGTCCGGCTGTTTCTGTTTCTGGGCAGGATTCGGGGCAACTGGCGGAGGCGGCGGAGGAGCATTCCTCTTTGGCGAGGGCTCTCCATCGGAATCGTCGCTAATCAGGGTCACATACTCAATGGGCTCGGTCATTTTGGAGCTACTTCCTCCGGTTTGGGTGGGCTTCATCACCGGAAAATGGAGCTCCGAAACAGTGACACCGATAAGTAAGCCCTACAAAAATGGAAAGCCCTTTGAAATTTGTTTGAAAATTGTAAACTTTCTGGGCAAACTTACGGTTACAAATCACGGATTCTTCAGCACATAAAACCGGAATACTGTTGCATTCTTTTTTTTCAATATTTAGTGGTTTTATTATCACACGTTTTGCCGATCGGTCTGCGGATATACTTTTTGTGGTCGGAACTCCCTGCTAGCCTGATTTCAATGAAGTTAACTATACTCGGTTGCTGTTCTAGCTGCTCCCAGCGTTGCTTTGCATTTTACGTTAGCTCACAGATCGATTTTCCGACTTTCAAAAGTGCAAATTGAAATGTAAAAAATTGTTTATATGGTTTTGGCTGTGTGGCAGCCGCGCAATGCCGCCAACATACCTTCACCGGTGCGGGAAATTCAAACAGCAGCATTTGGTCACACTGCTCGCGCTTTCCCCTTTTTAACGCTTTTAACTTTCATTGTGAACTTAAGTGGCCTTTTAACATTTGGAAACTATATTAAGATGACTTTTTAAGAACTTGGTTTAAGTTTAAGCACAGCTTTGATCTGGAAACTCCAGAAGTTTGGACATTAACCACCCTGCGGTCATACTAATAGATAACCGCTACATCCGACTTGAAACGGTTCATAGACTGAATCGGTAAACTTTATTTTTGAATGTAACGGACTTTGAAAAATAACAAAACTTGACTTTTAAATTAATGAATTAAAATGTGCCAGAAATATTCTTAAAGAAATAAGGAAACGGCAAAATCACACCGTCCTTGTTAAGGCAACTTTATTATATTCGAGTTAAGATAGTAATTCCATGTAGTTATAAATATGTTGTTATTCACCAATACCATTGTCACCTTAATGATTTATCATACAAGTGTACTTGTTCGACATTCATTTAATTGGATCGTTTCTATATTTAGAAATAACTTTGTTATTGCGTCATTGTTGTTTAGTTGCACACCTAGATTACGAAAAACGCCTCTGAGTCAATTCACAGCTATACTTTACCTTGATTTATTAGAAACAGAGGTAGCTTCAAGGATTATTTTAAGTTTTGTAGTTGGTAATATAGTATATTTGTTTTGGATCCATTGTTATAATGACAAGTACAAAACATGTTATTGTAGACCAAAGTTTAGGAAAGTGGCGACTTTGGAGAGGAGATTCCCTAATTCCCTTGTAACCAACTGAAACCAAGAAGTCGATTGCGAGACTAATATATCTCGGGAAAGTACACTAAAACAATGTCCAATGATTTTCTGTAAATAACTTTCAACAAAAATACACATATTTGGTTTTTGCGCTTTATAATTATGGAGAAAGCATTAAATCAATAATCTCAATCGCGGCCATCGCAGCACTTATCGTAGATAATCGTGCTGGAGCAGGCCTCCTTCCTCTCGTCGAAGAAGTGATCGAAGTGGCAGGTCTCCTCCTCCACCTCCTTGTTGTCCACACAGCGAATGTAGTTGTGGCAGTCGTTGCTGCTGCTGGTGACCAGCCTTGTGCCGCGTCCATCGCACCTGTTATGGGTGCAGACCACCGAGGTGGCCACTGCACAGACCTTCAGTTCGTCGTCGAAGAAATAGCCCTCGGGGCACTGCTGCCACAGGGGATCCAGATCGGCGACAGTATCAAAGGCCCTGCAGACGAAATACCCACGGCAGGTGGCTTTATCGGATTTAAATTCCATTTTCTTGCTGATCGAGCAGATGTCTTTCTTCGGATGAGCCGTGCACTCCACCTTGTTGGTTGCCACACAGCTGCCGCTCTCCACATCGAAGTACGTCTTGGAACATGCTTTGGCCACATGATTTCCGGTCTTATCACATTGGTAATAGTAGCTGCAGTCGTCTTCCTTCCGGAATTTCGTGTTATCCGCCACCAGTTCACAAATGTTATTTACATCCACGCAGTGCGAGTCCGATCCATAGAGACACGACTGGGAGCTCTGCTCGAAGTGCTGACCCGAAGGGCAGATACCCTGCAGGGGAAGGCCGTTCGAGCAGTAGAAGTACGAGTGGCATTCGGTCGGATCGGACACCCACTGGCCATCCAATCCTTCGCAGCGATTGCCGCAGTACTTGTTGCTCCCGGCTAGCGTGGCCACACATGCATTCTTGTTGGGATCAAAGGACTGGCCGGAGGGACAGGATAAGAGGGTGCCCTCGCCATCGAAGCACTGGATGTACTGGTCGCAGGTGCCAGGCTTTCGGATCTGGGTGCCGTTCTTGAACAGGCGGCACAGCTCTTCGTAGTCCCCAAGACTAGCTGAAGAAGCCAAAGAAGTCACCAAAAGAAGGCCGCCGAAAAGCGCTCCAAAAAGTCTGGGGTCTGAAAGAGTAGTAAGCAATACTTCGTTAGAGAGATAAATAAATGTTGTATTTTGATATTCCCAGTTGTGATATATATCCAAACTCAAGGAAAACAGTTAAATTCATTTAACTAACCAATAAAAACTAAATATTCCTATAAGTCAAGAAATTATTAAAAAGGTTTCACACTAGGAATTGTTTTACTTTTACTAAGATTATTCTTCTATGACACTGAAATATCTTAAGTTATTAAAAAACAACAACAACAACTTTCTACAGAAATTTTAACAATATGCAAGCGATATTTAAATCCTATTTGCTCTAACATATTGATGTAATTCCTATCTATGTAACACTAATTTCTTTAAATCTCTTTTTAAAAAACAAACCTAAAATATATATATTAAAATTCCTTGCAAAATCGGAGGAAATATTTTAGCAGTGTATGGATTGGATGATAAAACTCACTCAGCATGGCAGATTGTTGGGGAATTTTGTTTTAATTTGCAGAAGAACAGATCGAGCAGCTTGCTGTGGCCTCGGGAACTAATTGCTCCCGACTAAATGGAGTTTCGTGAATTGAAAAAGTTTATATTAACAGGCAATCACTGCCACTGCCTTTTGCTGATACCGCTTTTTATTACCCCCAATATAAACGAATCTTATCGAAAGTTCTGCGAAAGTACGTAAACCCCTTCAAGTACGTGGTAATTTGTGATTTAAATCTGATCATATTGATCATATTGCTAAAGACTCATCCACTAAATTTGAGTTTTACCATATATGCAGACTAATTTAAACTGAAAAGAAAAGTGAGACTTGGTATTAAGCTTTTTAAGTATTTGGTAATTGAAAATAGCCAACTTATTGGCTGTTAATTAGTTAAACTATAAAAATAGTAGTCGTATCAGCAGTCACAAGTTATGGTTACCATCGTAAATATGACAAAATGATAATCATGCGGTGGCTTTTAATTGTTTTTGGGAAAATCTGAGCCTTTGAAAACATTGATTGTGACTTTTAAATAAGACGCCGATATTATTTATGGTTTCGTTGATGAGAGTGAGGCATTACACACATACCTCCTGAACGCAAAGTTTCCATGATGATGTTATTCTTAAAAAATGTATTTTTTGGATTAACCATAAACAGGTGTTCTTTTTATACAAACTAACATACCTATATTCTTTTTGTGTGATATATTTAAATATTATAAATTTCTTATTTGAAATACCATATTTTTTTATATATTTGATATTCTACACTCAGGATGATATGCATATATGAAGCAAGTAATGTTAAAGAATCATTATATGATTTTCTAATTTGATATCATGAGACAATGAGACAAATTGTATAATTTTATTAAATCATTTGTATAAAAAAGTCAAGATCTGGCAAATCATTAAGCAACTCCATCCTCGCCATTAAGCATGGGCTGCTGATACTTCAACTATGATAACCATCAAAACGTATTAGGTGGGACTTTATTATTTATAAAAGCCTACATATTGAAACAACTTTATTGTGAATAAAATTAAAGACATTTTTTAACGGACAAGTAATCCTAAATATAACCACATCACATCGATGGTTGAGCTTTATTGAAAGTGTTTATTTAGTACACGCAGTGTAGGACTTAATATTCGGGACGCAACCACCCAGTTCCTCGTCGAAGAAGTAGTTGCCGCATGACTTTTCGGCACTGGCGACTCCACCGGAGCAGTGATAGTAGTTCCGACAACCCAGAGTGGTACTGAGGACAAAATCGAGAGTACGGCCATCGCAACGATCGTTAGTGCACTTCACCAATGTGGGGCTAATGCACATCTGGCTGGACTCATCGAAGAACTTGTCCTGGGGACACTGGTTCCAGATGGGATTCTGGTCCGGAGAACCATCTGCCTGCTTGGCACAGTAGAAGTAACCACGACAGGTGGCTCCATCCGGAACGAATTTGTCTACCGTGGGTTTGCTGGCCTTGCCGCACAAATTTGCGTTTGGATGGGCATCGCAATTGACCAGGGCCTTGGCCACACAGGTTCCCGAGCTGGCCTGATAATATTGATTCGTACAGGTCTTATCCGACAGTTTACCCTTGGTGCACACGTGATATTTATTGCATCCTTGCAGATTATCAAAATTCACGTTGTCTGGTACTATGTTGCAGTACTCAAAGGTGCTGGTGGTGCAAGCCGATTCGTATTGATGGGTGCAAGTTTCAGTGGTGGCATTGAAGTGAGTGTTCTCTGGACATTTTCCATACATGGCTATCTCCTTTTCCGAGCAGTAGTAGTATCCGTAGCAGGACTTTGGATCGGCCAGGAAATGGTTGGCCACTCCATCGCAGGAAATCGAACAGCTGGACGTGGAAGACAGGGTCTTTACACATTTGCCCTGATCCTTGTCGAAAAACGGAGTGCTTCCCGAGCAGCTACTGTAGTGACTTACGAAATCGATGCATGTAATCGATCGGCTGCAGGAATCGGGATCTCGGATCACAGTGTTATTGGAAAACAATCGGCAGATGTCCTCATCCCTGGCATTCACCAACTCGCAGGCTTGTAGCATTAGCAGCACCAGTGCCAAGCCCACGAAACAAATAGGTTCTGTAATCGAATCTAGGTTAGTTCAATATTCCGATTTGAAAGTACAAAATATACCCACTTTCCATCGCAGCTCAACTTTCGACGAACTAATAACTCTTACTGAATTCTCCCCTAGGCGAACGATTACTTTTATGGCCATCTATATCGGAGGATCAGTAGCTATCCGCAGCATTTATTTTTGTTGGAGAGATAAGAGGATTGGTTTTTGGTACGGGGTATTGAAAAGGTATTACGCACATTTACTTACTATATTTATTAAATCATTTTTCTTATTACTAAGGTTGGAGTAACATGGAAGACAATATTCATATTTACATTAAAAAAACTTTTTGGAATTCAAATCAACCTCAGATTTTACTTAAAACTGCGTTTTGTAATAGTTACTCCCAAAATTTCTAAAGAACCAAATAAATTATTATTTTTTCTGACTAATTAGTAGGTGAATTTAGGT